GAGAGAGCACGTACTAGAGTCCGACGTGCAAAAGTTAGCCATGCCAAAGTTGGAGTGCCGCCAATTAGATTGGAGGGTTATACGAAACATGGTGGAGGAAATCTTTAAAGACACCGAAGTCCAGGTGTTAGTCTGTTGCAATCCGCATAGTTACTGCTGCGGAGAGAAAACCGTCCCTTGTCATTTCTATACAACTGGAAGTTGTAAAAGAGGGTCCAGTTGTCGATATCAGCATATCGTTCCAGTTCCAGTCCCGACAAGGTTTCAGGAGGAACCATCTTTTAAGAGGGGGGCAATGTTACGATTTTAAATGTTATGGCATATAGAACTGTAAAAATATTTTATGACTAATTCTTTTTTATTGATTCTCGTAATTTGTAGGTCAAAATATACCTGAGCTTAGCTACCAGTTGTTTACCAGAAATCTCTAGACACTAATTTTAGTGAGTCATCCACGTCTCGAGGTTGAAAAACGAGTCGAGCGCCTTCACCAAAATACGAGACTATTCAGGAAGTCCGCCGAATTCTCTAGATGAAAACAGTTGTGTATATAAATGAAAGATTTTTATTTGGCAGCCAGTCATATAAGAAGCTCGGCAACCGCGATATTTAAATGTAACGAAACATAAATTATTATTTGTAATATAAATTAGAATTAATAAAGACTTTAATAAATTCGTAATTAGTTATCGTGAGTTTTAATAAATTAGAATATAGACAATAAATTAGAATAAAGACAAATAAATTAGAACTATATATACTTCACAATATTTTGATTCCACGCATATCAAAAGCCAAAATTTTCTGCCAAACTTGTCCGGCTTATTTGATATGTAGTGTGAACGGGCCCTGGCTTTAGAAAGCAGTAGTTGTTCGTCCACAGTAAGGTTTATTCCCGGTTTGTAACATGTACAACTATTTTCTATAAATCCATTTTAAACCGCGGATGCTAGAGCAAATTTGTCGGTTTTCAATCGTTCAGATCTCGTTTGCTTTTTGTCAAATCTGAGATATTTTATAATATCCTTGAATCTGTCTCGTGGCATAGTTTGCCTAAAAAACTAAGGACCACATACTGTTGACCACAAGCTATTGGTTGGGAAATTTTTGGTGCCGTAGACTGCACTTGCGTACATAATAGCAAGGGCAGCCTCCAGTTCTTCCAAAGTTATAGTCAATGTGTCATTTTTCAAACATCTATGTGCTTCTGCAATAGTGCATTTTTTTATATGACGTAACATGCTATCGTTGATTATTAGATGCCAAGCACTTACCACATAATTGTTCCTCACGTTCCTTTTTGCATAAGACGTAGGACCTGATTCCTTTCGATAAATGTTGTGCTGAGCGCGGCGTCCTGTAATGAGCAAACATTCAATGAATATGAAGATACTAAAAATCATAATCTTACCAGGTACTGATCCAGAAACAATAACTTTCCACGTTGTTCCGTCTTTCGATTGTTTGGTGTCTCCGATTGAAATAGTTTTTCTTTGTTGATCTCTTTTTCTCTTGTGACTTGGCTTAGATGCACTTGGATTGACGATAAAATTAGCTGACTCGTGCTGTTGAGTTGTAGAAGCAGTGTACATAAATTGGTGAGTCTTGTACAATAAAACTTTCTAACTGCTCTGAAGCATCAGAGTCACTTGAATCATTATTTTGTGGTGGTACGTATTATTCATCGTCTGACTCATTATTTTCTGCAAATTCAGCTTCAGCTACCGAAACATCTTGTATTTTTCGTGTTTCTTCAAGAAGTTTAAGCTCTGATAGTCCACGACGAGACATCTTTACAGTCATCTTGAATTTTCACAATTTAACGAATGTTTCAATATTCTAGAAACGAGAGTCAGCAGAACCTAATAAACCGCTCAATAAACAAAATACTTTCAAAGAACAAACAGTATGTAACAAAATACCTTCTAGGAATAAACGTACATAAACATAATTTTATCTATCCGACAGAAAGTTAAAAAGAAATCGTCAAATTTCCGAGAAAACGATAATAATTAATACAGGGCCAGTTTGGCCACTTCAGACTTCTATGGTAGGTTTGTTAGAAAATCAATTTAAATAAGACTTTGTATCAAAATATGAAATTTCTTAAAATATGAAATTATTATTGTGTCACATAAAAGAACTACAATAACTTCAAATCGCAACAGGGGCCAAATTGGCCCCTAGGACTTTCTAGTGTTAAAATGCTTATAATAGCCCAAAAATAAAATTGTCCAACGGAGCGATTTAAGTCCAATATCATATCAGAAAATAAAAAACGCTCATATTACCAATTATATCTCAATCTAATTACAGATAGACTTTGCAGTAAAAAAGCAACAAGGTATAAAAGTTATGATATCGTTGGCGGTTTACCTGCTGAAATATCACGCGCATTGTGTTTTTTGTACATTGTATGGCTTTTGTTTTTCATATTTGCGTTTTTGCACGTTAGTTACAGCCCAATTAGCGGCCCGTATTGTATGTGTGCATACGTTAACATTTCACGAGTTTGTTTTCAACACACAAATAGAAAGTTTTGAAAAGAATACGGTGAAGTTTATTGTTGTCATGCTTAGACATAGATTATAATACCTGTAAAGTTTTAATTAGTTAATGAATAAAAAGCTCTCTGTGTATTTAATAATGATTGATTTTTGCTTTAACTATTGTTACTTTTAATGAACCCACTGACAACGACAATAGAAGATGAAAAATGAATTGAGAGAGAAGTGTATTGACATTCTTCTTTCACATGTAATGGTCCACAGGTTCCCGTTAAAGGATAACTGTGGACCCTGACGGGAAGACTGTGGTATGCTTGATAAACTTCACTTTGTAGTTATTATAATAAAAGGTGTAACTGCGGTTTAAAATAAAAGCAACATTAAAAATGCAGAAACGAAAATTTTTATTCAAAACCATAAAACGACAAACAGCTAGGCAATATTTTCGAATCTCCTTAAATCCTCACAAAACGTAACGAAGTTTTCATCTTCTGATTTTGGGTCGTTCAGTATTCCTAATATCTTATCATAAGCGAACAAGTGAGGCTTGTTTTCCTCACGAAATTTAAAGGCATTTCCCACACATCTCAGAAGGATAAATTCTAAAAAAGAAATGGAAATCAACAAATTAAAAAACACAGATATAATTCTGAATGACCAACTTGAGACAAACAGTTTCTACCCTCCTCAACTTATTTCATTAGAGACTATAAATTTGTAAACCCAAGCCAAAAATAAATCACTTGAGAAAGGCAATCAGCCGAAACAGCTGTAGTGATAAGATTTAAAATAAATTTTGTGGAAGTTTTCAGTGTTTTATTGTTACATAAAGTGAATTTCCATAAAGTAACGGTCGAATCCATCAACTATTTAAAAAAAATTTAAATCCCAACACCTGGATTGCTGTTATTATTTTTAATATCATTAAATTTTTTTTTAATCTTTTGGCTGTAGTAATACTATGTATAACTAATATAGTTTCGTGTTACATTGAAATTTTGTTTTCGACACCGTTCATAGGTACCTTGTCAATCAGTTACCAGCTGTAGTCCGTTTGAAGAGGTTTACTCTCCGGACACTGAAACTCACTTCAAGCATGGGTGTATGTTACATGAAGTCAAATTTAATTTAATATTTAACATCACAGTTTTATAACAACGTTATGTACAATCTTTTACAACTACATGTAATTTAAATAGTTTTTACCCTGGTATTTTGGTGGCTCAGGCATTTTAACTTATTAAGTATAACCATTTTTGCTTTTTAATCCTAGTCAAAATTTTAAAACCACGTTTGCTTTAACTAAATGGTTTATACTTATTTTAGGCAATTTTAAACCTGATGATGGACTGTTTAGTCCGAAAACGTTTGTTTTTTTAATGTAGCTCTTTTAAGGGTTTTTAAATAAATATACCCATTTACGAAGATTAACCTCTTTTTGTGATAGGTGGTATACAGCCAGCTACAGGAATTGTTTTCCTTGTGGATTTTACCTTTATTAACGACGACGAAACTGAAGACGACGAAGAGAAAGATGACGTATCAGATATATACGAAGACAACGAAAGACGAAAGGAAGAAAAAAGACAACTGCAAGATGAAAAAAGAAAACTGGAAGACGAAAACCGACGATTGGAAGAAGAAAGACAAAAAGATGACAAAAGACGTGAAAAAGAAAAAGGACAATTGGAAGAAAATCGACGGAAAGATGATGAAAGACGTGGAAAAGAAAAACGACGATAAGAAGAAGAAAGACGGGAAGATTATGAAAGACGTGTGGAAGACGAAAAACTTGAAGAATAAGAAAGACGAAGACGTGAGAGAAGAAACGACGAGGATAGACAAAGACGCAAAGGCCAAAATTATGACGAAAGACGACAAATATGTGATGAAAGACGTAGATATGAACGAAGTATAGGTACTACATTTTTCGAAGTATTGGTTGGCGTAAAAATAAAATAATAAAGAAGACATTCGAATCAAAGAACTCATAGGGGAAGAGGTGATTAAAATATATGATTAAGAAAGAAGAGAACTTCGAGAAAGATGTAAGATCATTAATGCGAACATCAACGTGTGCTGAGTATCATAAACCATGGATCGATAATGAAAGCGACGAATCCGAGTCGGATTCTGAATAGGATGGCCGAGTGTAGGATTGCATTCGTCATCAAATAAAATAAATCGCTGTATATTGTAGATCGACAGGGACCGAGTAAAAAAACAGTGTAAGTAAAACACTCACGACGAAGATTTGATATGCATATGACAGTATCTCATCTCTAAACGACATACGACGAAAGACGTATTCATATTTTTGCTATTAAGCCGCGGTCCTATTTTAGTTATTATATTATAGTTACATTAGTTAGTCTTACATTCATTCCTGTTTTTTACGAGTTAAATAATAAAGTAATTGGTATAATTTGCATTGACCTGTGGTCTATAATTATTAAACCTTACAAAAACAACAAGAAAAACACTACAGTATTATAAATACACAATTTATTTAATAATATAATATAATAAATTAGGCCTACAAGAAGGCTTTTGAGAAACATAACACACAAAATACATTTCTCCTTAAATAGATTCACAAATAACTAATTTATATTGTGAACGTTATCACAGATATGTCACTGTTCCAGATCTTCGCCTATCCCAAACTCCTGTAACGGACCCGTCTCGTGTTGATATACACGTCGCTGCAGCGAATCCCTGTCCATCAGCGTAAGCGACTTCGTGGCCTATTTTCCGCAAGCCGTCGGCAATCTCGGGAGCCTGAAAAATTACTCTGTTTTAGTATTAAGCTAAAAAGATACAAATGTATTTTACCAAGAAGATAACTGAAATAAGTTTGATGAAATATACACCGGACTTAATACTCAGATTTAGCCTACAAAACATTTATGATTCTAATATTCCAGTAGCACATGAATATTATGAAAGAAATAGTTTATTGCCACTGTCACCATCAATATAAACCAATTCCAATGGGAATGTTTTATAAATTTCAACATTTCTAATTCATATTTTTACTGGGTCAACTTTTTTTAAATTTTTGGAGATAATACTATTACTCACTAGAGTCTTCCGGGTTGAACTGCGTCGACTATCATTGCACCGAACTGTCGGCATCCCCTTTAATGTCTTCTTCAGGGCTTTCTAGATCTCAGTCTTGCGAGATTTTAGACAGTACTACACTGATCACTAACCAGTGCATTACTGCTGAACCGAGAAAGGTTTATTTATACCTTCGATGGTGACTTGGTTTGGGTGAAAGTTGGCGTGTGTGTTATTGTGGTTATTGGCGTAGAGATTGGTGCGAGGGGCATCCTGGCGATGATTCAAGTAGACCTGTTGAGCTCTCTAGTTTAAAACAAGTCCTTTCCAAAAGAGTTACCGCGGAAATAAGATCAATAGGAGCATTCATAAACATAACCGAATATATCACAAACTGAACATAGACCTTAGTGATACACAATTTGGTTTTAGCAAAGACTTAGGAACGCGTGAAGCTCTTTTTCCACTAAATATACTGATACAAAGATGCCTGGACGACAATCAAGATAGCGAGTTTTATTGACTATAATAAAACATTCGATAAAGTACGACATAAACAATTAATGAATGTCCTGAAATCTAAGAAGATTGACTACAACGACCTTATGATCATATTAAATTAATACTACAAACAGCGAGCAAAACTTCGTGTTAACGAACAGCTGTCAGAAGAAATCGAAATTATGAGACAGGGACAAAGAGTTCCTGAAAAATGCTCTTGAGGATAAAATAGCTTGAATAAAGGTAAATGGAGTTCCCATTAACAACATTAGATATTATGCGGACGACACTGTGATGTTAGCCAAAAATATTGAAGATATTTAGAGACTGTTGACCAGAATAGCGGAGTATGGAAAAGAGAATGGTCTAACAATGAATCAAGTCATCAAGAAGAGGAAATTTATGAGAATATTGAAAACTCAAAAAAATAACTAAAATCTTCTAAGAAACGGAACCGACATCGAACAAGTAGACAAATATACCTATCTGGGAATAATGATTAACTACAAATGATTACATTCAGGAGATCAAAATCAGAATAGAAAAGGCTAGAGCAAATTTCAATAAAATGAGAAGAGTGCTATGTACTAGGGATTTAAAATTAGAACTAAGACTTAGGTTGGCGAGGTGCTATGCTTTTTCGACTTTATTTAATGGAATGGAATCTTGGACCTTAAATGCGACATCAACGAAAAAACTGGAAGCAATCGAGCTGTGGTTGTATAGAAGAATTCTGACAATATCGTGGACAGAACTCATCACAAACAAAAAGGTTCTGAGAAGGATGAATAAAGAAGTAGAAATTTAAAATACAATTAAGGAAAGAAAAGCATAGGGAGGCGTAGAATGTCATGGCTGTTCAACCTAAGAGAGTTGTACGGATGTACACCAAATGAACTTTTCAGAGCAGCCGTCTAAAAAGTCCGAATAGCTATGATGATAGCCGACCTCCGCTGCGGAGATGGCACTTAAAGAAGAAGAAGACATCAATCTTCCACTTAATCTTAACCCTAACTGGAAGTCTCAGACCCCATCGTACGAAAGCTTTTCTTTTTTACATCAAAGGTGTCATTGACAAAATTAATAAAATTCCTTAAATCAAGAGGAATAAAGACAACATTTACCCCTCAACAATCTCTTATCCGATCAATCAAAGACAACATTTCAAATGAACATTACGAAGTTGTTGAACAACACAAAGGAATAAAATTCCTCCTTGTGCAGACTATCTGACAAAATCGTATACAAAATGGGATTTATGAACATTTAGTTTCTATTTACAATTCCGACTTAATTTCTATATCAATCTATATATATATATATATATATATATATATATATATATATATATATATATATATATATTATATATATATATATATATATATATATATATATGTATATCTATATATATATATATATATATAATATATATATATATATATATACACATATATATATATATATATATATATATATATATATATATATATATATATATGTATATATATATATATACACATATATATATATATATATATATATATATATATATATATATATATATGTATATATATATATATATATATATATATATATATATATATATATATATATATATATATATATATATATATGTATATATATATATATATATATATATATATATATATATATATATATTGATATCTTACCATGTGAGGCTTCTTTTAGCCTGAGCGGTGTGGGTTGGGGTGTGAGGTCGATAACAACGGTCGCCATGTTGACGGCAGTCTTTCAGCATCGTCGTGCGTGTTTAAACTGTTATGCTGTTTTTTAATTTCGATAGCCTCACAAATAATTTTCGATTTTAAGGAGCTGATGGGAGCGATGGTTTTTGATTTTTCGAAAAATCAAGAATTTCTTAACATCAATTATATATTTATATATATATATATATATATATATATATATATTATATATATATATATATATATATGTATATATATAATATATATATATATATATATATATATATATTATATATAATTTATATTAAGTTTGCCTTCATAGTAGGCAAAATGGGTGTTATTATTTTTGGTACAATGCTGAATATTTATTGAAGCACTAGTCATTTTCAGACTTTTGGTCCACTCTCCATAAATTTACGTATTTTACACATAAACTGTAACATATATGTAACGGGTCTAAATTATATTTTTATCATTTGAATTACATAAGTAGTTAATATACAAATAAAACATTACTAAGATTTGTTAGTAAATGTTTATTCTAAAGAATAAAACAAAAAAAACTTACTTCTGTTTCGTAAAGAGGTTCTAGAGTTACTGACATTGGCCATAGCTGATGATGAAATCTTCTAAGATCTGACGTTGCTTTAATTCCCATGTCAAACCATAAATGTCTTACTATCATCTAAAATGACATCAAAATTTGTTTTAGTATATGTGAAATAAGTCAATACTCACAATTTTAAGTAGTTTTTTTTTAAAGTTTAATACATTTTGGTAGGGATGCGAAAAGCCTACCGGTTTTAAGCGAAAACCGGATTTTTTACTTCGAAATAACCGGTTTTATCAGTTGTTTTTTTTGTCGCGGTTATAACCGGTTTTTTTATTTTTAAAGTAAAAACCGGTTATTAGGTTTTTACAGTGATTAGGATTAGGTTAGGTATTATTTTGGATCCCACCCAATCATAATTATTATTCTCAAGTAATTATTCCAAACAAAACTTAAATTCAATTTTTATTTTATTTTATAAATACAGAAGCAAACTGAAAGTGCAAGCCCACATCAGCCAGAAACAATAAAATTTTATTATAGTATTTCGTTGAAAAAGTATTTGTAATCATAATATTTTTACATAAGAACTGATCTGGTATTTATACATCATATATTTTTCACACTTGACTCTTGACATTAAAAGTGGGTGAATGGCTTTTTCTGATTATCAAAAATAATGACTGTGAATATCGAATTACCGATTACGAATACCAATCTCTAAGGATTTTCCTACGTTTTCAAAACGATTTATACCCATACCGGAAGTCGTAAATGAGTTAACAGTAATACATAATAATTCCTTTTGATGGTAGTAAAAATACAAGATAAATTGCATTATCCAATTTATTTTTAAGTAAAATATTTATGTTGATATTATTTTCTTTAAATCCCATTTGAAAGGGAAATTTTTGTTGGGGAATTTTTTCTCACAAAACACAAAAAGTTGTTTTGTATTTACATTGATATTGATGTTCTTTCGATAGTACTAATTTTGATCATATTGATATCGAGTCGAATGTAGTATCACAAACTAAAAAGCATTGTAAATGTAACTTTCTAATCTATTGGATTAAAAAAACCGAAAACCGGTTTTTGGAAAAACCGGTTTTTCTGGCCGGTTATAACTGCCAGATTAAACCGTAAGCAAAAAAAACCGGTATAACCAAAAACCGGTGTTTTGTCAAAAACCGCCATCCCTACATTTTGGGCTACCGGTTTTAAGGGTTACAATACTTGCCCCATCATCAGGTCCCCGTATGTTATTATTATTTTGTATTAAAAACTAAAAGATATCAGATACATGAAAGCTCAATAAACTAAGATCCTTCTGGAAATGACCTTCCCGCTTAAGGAACAAATTTACTCGCACTTCTGAATTTAAAGTCTTATGTGTATTTGGTTATGAATATTTCTTCTTCTTACGGTGACTTATCCATCCTTAAGGACGTTGGCCATTACATTTGCCCATTTAATCTTATTTGTAGCAGCACTGAATAGTTCTATGGAGGTCATGTTCGTCCATTGCCGTAGGTTTTAATGCCAAGAGTTGCGTCTTCTTCCTGGTCCTCTTTTGCTATTGACTTTGCCTTCGATTATAAGTTGGAGCAGTTCATACTTTTGATTTCTTATGATGTAACCAAAATAATATGTTTTCCGTTCTTTTAGCATAAGCTCTCTTTCCTTATTCATCCTCCGCAAGACTTCCGCATTTGTCGTATGGCTCATGTAGGATATTCTGAGCATTTTACGGTAACACCAGAGTTCGAATGCTTGGATTCTTTTTTGTGTTGCTTCTGTTATTGTCCAGGCTTCAACACCATAGAGCAAAGTGGAGAAATCATAGCGCTTAAGTATTCTAGTTCTCAATTAGATGCCCAGCTGGCGGTTGCATAGAACTTTTTGCATTTTGTAAAACATTGTACGTGCCTTTTCCAGGCGTATTCTTGGCGTATGAATATTTAGCAAGATAATATTATTATTTTATATATTTTGTCTCCAGCTCTTTTATCAAGAGTTATAAATAAATTAAACAAACATTTTTTGTACTGCACAAACACTAAAAACCAAATACAATATATTAAAATTATAATAGCCTTTCTTTTGTCATATAAGTGAGGTTTATACTCTCTCTCAAAAGTCCTCCTTATCATCTCGGCATTTTTGTTAATAGTGTAGAGATGCCATTTGCTCCATGTAATGGGGAGATGGCTTTTATGTCGTTCCTTAATGTTCTTTGAAATTTCCAAATATTTTGCATATTTGGAGCCCGTTCATCAATTTTTTCTACGTAGTTGTCCCACATTCGGCTTCTGTGTTGTGCCAGTGCCGTTTTCACTTCTCTTTTTAGCCGGTTTGTCCGTTTTAGTCTTCCTGTTTTCTTCTGGTTCTCCTTTTAACTCTGTTATTTCCTGACCATCTTTTAATTCCAAGTTTCTGATTCTAAACCCTTCCATTTATATTTTTAGCTCTTCATAAATAGTGATGCTTCCTAAGGCTTTTTGGATGATATTTTTAAACTCTTGGATGTTTTCTTACATTTCTTAATCATTATTGATCACTGGGTTGTTGTTGATTCCAATACTTACAAATCTTTTGCAGTGTGACCACTGTATTTTCTTACTTTTTTGTACTGTTTTTTTTTTGTGCTGTTTTCTTCCCATATTCCTATTTCTAGTAATATGGGGTTGTGGTCTGCTGATTTTTCGTTTAATATTCGGATATCTATTTGTAGTCCTAGGGTTTTCAGCTACTACTATTTCTAGATTAGTAAGTTGAGTATTTCCTTGGAAATGGGTTGGCTAGATGGACCCTTTCGTACCTCCAACTAAAACCAATAATATTTGTATGTCTTTCTATTGGACAACATTAATCGTTTAACCAACTTATTCACTATGATTATTGTAATTTTTCATGTTATCTCGTTACTAGGTGTTAATAGTCCAGTTAGTACTAAATTTTTAGCTTACCTACTTATTAGAATGTATAAGGTGCCATAATATCGGATAGTTGTCTATTATCGGATAGTTCTGTTTTAAATAAACTTGAAATCTGATTAACAAGAAACCTATGTGCAGTTTAGCATGGAGCTAAACCCAGGTCGCCGAGTAATATTTTAGCGTAAAAGTACTCAAAAGTACGTCGGAAGACTACGTAAAAAATAAAATAAAGTCACTTAAAGAACTTATTCAAACACATTTGCGACGTTCACCAGTGTTTTCCAAAGAAATTGAAGCGGATTTGGTCGATTACACAGGTCTGCGACATAAAAATTGTTTAAAATTGAATAAGTGATTTTTATAGTATTTTTAACGCTAATTTTGGGAAAAATACTGAAAATATTCCATCACGTACAGTTATTCCACAAACTGCTTGTCTATTTTTAGCTTTTTTTCGATATTTTTATACATAGTTCCGTACTCTAGTGAGTTTGAATTTTTGTTTTTTGAATCTTTATGAACTGTTTATTAAACACATAGTACTTTTAATAAGTCTAAAAAATACTTTAAGGTATTTTCAGTTACTTAGCTGTTTTTTTTACTATACAAGTTGTATGTAAAATAAAGAGTTGATTAGGAGAAACCAGCAATATTTTCATGTCGGTAATTGTCCATTGCCTTCCCTCCCTCGCCGTCCACTTACTGACTCACTGAGCATCTTTTATGTTAGTGCCTGTCTGCCACAGTGCCCATTCCCCTCTCCATCACCAAGCAGTGAGCTTCTGCTACCTGTTCTTCAGTCCACAGTATCTCTTCACTCTGTGCTGTTCACGTGCTGTGGTTACTAGTGATTTATAGTAGTGATCGTGAGAGTAGTTTTAAATGATATCTCGTGACACACGGATAGTTGGCAATAAAGTGTGAATAAAAAAACTTTCAGTGATTTTTTTATCGAACTACAAAGAACATAAATCCAAGGCATCAGCCTAAACAGATTGTTTTCTTGTGGTGTGAAGTTGTTTTATGAAAAATGGCTACCAGAGGATGTATCAACTTACCAGATTGCTGCTGCTACATTTGTGGTAACTATACAGTTAAAAAGCAACAAAGAAACATTTCCGATTTTGTTGAAAGGTATATTTTGCCTATTTTGGTATAAAGTTGGGTGATCAAGACAAGTCTTGGGACCCACACAAAGTTTGTTCAGTGTGTGTTGAAGAACTGAGACAATGGTTTCAAGGTAAAAAGCAGCCATTTCGTTTTGGAATACCAATGGTTTGGAGGGAACCCAAAAACCATAGTGATGACTGCTATTTTTGTTCTTTTAATGTTCAAGGTTTCAATTTGAAAAACAAAAAAGATATTTCTTACCCTAACATCAAATCAGCTATTCTCCCTGTTCGTCATGGACCTGAAGTACCAATACCCTCTCCTCCAGTTTTTTTGGATGGTATTTTAGATTACTACGAGCCATTGGCTCAGCTAGGTAAAAGTGAAGAAGACAGTGATGGCTACGATCCTGGCACAACCGATCCCGTTCCATTCTCAGAATCAGAAGCGAATGATTTAGTTAGAGACCTAGGTTCCTAAAGACTCGGCAGAAACGTTTAAAATCTAGATTAAAAATATAAATATGTTGGCTCCGGGTACTTCCTTTTCTTGGTATCGTTAGAGGGAAAAGAAGTTTGTATCTTTTTTTTCTCAAGAAGGTGACTTGGTGTTTTGCAGTGATGTTCCTGGACTTATGGCACGTTTCAAAATAGAATATGCTCCTGATGAGTGGAAACTTTTTATAGATTCTTCAAAAAGAAGCCTTAAAGCAGTGCTTCTACACAATAGCAATTAGTATGCCTCTATGCCAGTTGGACATTCTGTTTACTTAAAAAAATGTTATGAAAACCTCGAACTGGTTTTAAACAAACTCTGCTATTTAGATCATAAATGGACACTATGTGGTGATTTGAAAGTGATCTCAATGCTGCTTGGTCAACAAAGTTTCCTTGTTTTCTCTGTGAATGAAACAGTAGAGACAGAAAGCAACACTACATTAAAAAAGTTTGGCCCTTGAGAAAAACCTTACAGGTGGAGGTTAAAAATGTTGAGAGGAAAAGCCTTGTGGATCCCAAAAAGGTATTTATTTATTTATTTTATTTATCGAATGGCATATAATAAGAACACACAATTAAAAAAATCAATATAAAAACGTTACATGAAGTATTACAAACGAACATCTAATGTATTATTAATATAATGTAAAACATTTTCGGTCGCATTCAGGAACTCATCGAAAACTCCACGGAATCGCCTTCGGGGACATTCTTCAACAATGTGACGGACGGTCTGTCGTTGCGCACCACAGTCACACTCAGGAGTAAGGGCTTTTCCCCATCTATATAAGCTGTCTACAGCTGCTTGTTCTTATTCTGTTTAGCGTTGTTCATATATTGCGGGTCAGTTCAAAGCCTGGCGGTTTCTGATCGATACAGGCCATTTGATGTGCTTCCTGTGGTGAGTCGCTCTCCCATTGTGTTCTCCAAGCTTTGGTCAGGTTGAAATGTTCCTGATGTAAGGAGTTGGCTCTTAGCAATGGAGGATATCTGGAGCGCAGTCTGTTTATTTCGATATCAAGCTTATCTTGGTGTATAGGTAGTTGATGGTTAGCCTCAATTTTTCGATATTCTCTGAGAAGAAAATGACTTCTTCGCAGTTTCGGCGGTGGAATGTGACTTAGAATGGGAAGCCAATAGTTCGGTGTGGGTCTAATTGTACCTGAGATCATTCGCATTGACTGGTTTAATTGAGTGTCAATAATCTTTGTGTGTTTGCTATTGAGCCATACCGGGGAAGCATATTCAGTCACCGAGTATACAAGTCCGAGAGCGGATGATCTAAGTACGGAGGCTGAAGACCCCATGTAGTGCCACATAGCTTTTGGACTATATTATTTCTCGTTTTCAACTTTGCTGTCGTTCTTTGAAGATGTTCTTTAAAACTCAATGTTCTGTCCAGAGTCACTTCAAGATATTTTGGTGTTGAGTTATGAGTGAGCAGTCTGTTTTCGAAGTGGATGGAGAGTTTTTTGTTGGCTTGGGCATTATTCAGATGGAAACAGCACACTTCGGTTTTCGTTGCATTAGGCCGTAGCCTCCATTTGCGAAAGTATTCTCCCATAATGGCAAGGTATTACTAACACCACTCCACATTAAGTTGGGGTTAATGAAACAATTTGTAAAGGCGTTGCCAAAAGAAGGGGAGTGTTTCAAGTATCTTTGTGAACAGTTTCCTGGTTTATACGAGGCAAAACTAAAGGAAGGAGTCTTTGTCGGACCAGACATTAGAAAACTAATGAGAGATCCCAATTTTATTGACAAAATGGAAACAAACGAAAAAGCAGCATGGACATCTTTTAAATTAGTTGTTACCGGTTTCCTAGGAAACAAAAAAGATCCTAACTACAAGACAATCGTCGCAGACATGCTCGAAAACTTTAAGAAGCTGGGATGTAACATGAGCATTAAAGTTAATTTCCTCCATTCACATCTAGACTACTTCCCTGCAAACCTTGGTGATGTAAGTGAAGAGCAGGTTGAAAGATTCTAACAAGATATCAAGGAAATGGAAAGAAGGTATAAAGGAAGATGGAACGTCAACATGATACCGGACTACACAGCCGGAAAAGTAATAAAAGAAGCTTCGACGGAAAGCAAAAGCGTTACTATAAGGACTTATGAGCTTAAAGAGAAATGTAAGTGTACTAGATATGTAGTTTATAATATGTATTATACATGAAATAAAATCCTTTAACTTAAAAAAAAATTTGAAAAGTTGCTAAAATTTTGTTATTATACCAAAAAGTAATTCCTTTTTGTGAGAAAACCTTACGTGATAAAAAAAATGGATTGCATTTTTGCAATCAGCGCCGAAAAAGTACATAAAAGTCAGTTATGAAATTCCAAACAATTTTAAAAAATATTTTTTTTGTAAACCTGTGTTATTGCCTAGAAATGGATAGATTTTACGGACTGCTATCTTCAGATATTCAAAGATTAGCCTTTTAATTAGCTACTCGGAACAATTTAAAACATCCGTTTCCAACTAATCAGAAAAAAGAAGGTTACAAATGGTTGCTACAAAGTATTTTAAGCAGGATCACACCGGCTGCAATAATGTAGACAAAAAATACATATATATTTGTGATTTCTGCCTCGATGGCTAATTTTGTCCCGTTATCCTAATATCCTAATATCTGGTATTAGCAACATATTTTTTGTTAGTCTAAATTTACCGTTTTTTAAAAGAATTTAAAATCATTTATTTGTAGAAATCATTTATTTTCGTTCAATACATGATTCTCTATAGTCTATTACTTATTTTGCTCTAAATTATTCATAAATTAATTGATGCATTTAAACTAATATTAGTATTCAAAAAAAGTATCCAATATTAGGGCACTTTACTAGAAAATTCTGTAGAAATTTTTTTCCATTGTTTAAAAAAATTAGGGACATTTAAAACTGAAAAAGACTGTTTAGGAATGTCACTAACTACATAAGACAGAGGATAAAATTCCCGAATATATACTAAATATAGATAGATAATACTAAATAAGGACATGTATACCTAATTAACCTAATTACTAAACTTTTGTGTTTTTATGGACGTACCTGAGCAACACTTGTTATAATTTTGGAACCGCCCGCTGCACCAACTGCCATCACAACATCACCGTTGTTTTCTACAACGATGGTAGGAACCATCGACGACATCGGTTGTTTTCCGGGTACGATGAAGTTTGCTGGTGATGGCGGAATATTATAAGAGTTGATAATACTAGGTGATGAGAAGTCATCCATCTGGTTATTTAAAATAATACCTGTACTTTCAGAGACAAAACCCGCTCCCAGCCTAAAAAGAATAAGGAGTTCATGAAAGATGACAGACACACATAAATATTCATTAAAAATTAAAATTGGAAATAGTTTACAGGTCTGGAAAGTACGATGATTTGAGAAAATTACGGCTTTGATGCTATGTTCCGTTAAAATTTCATTGTTATGAAAACAACGAAAGCACTTTTCAACTTACAAATTGTCTGCTAAAAATGGTAAAAACGGTATTTTATTAAAATATCCATATCTTTTGTAAAAATTCTTATAAAAGAACTCGTAATTTTGTCGTTGAATGTGACAGGGGTCCCAATCAATTGCCATCTACAGACACTCATTAAATTTTTTAAATAATTAACTTTTTGTAGAGTAAAATAAATAGCACTTCCATACGCTAACCACTGCAGTGGTAAAGATTCAGTAGACATTCGTTGGACTTTCCAAGTTTTAATTTTTATCGGCCTGAGTGTCTGACGAAGCAGGGATGCCGAGTCCTTATGCTACATAGATTAAAAATATTTACATATAAATTGGAATTATTATTAAATTAACATGTACTTACATGCCATTAATGGTACTAGTAACGACAATTGCATCGCCATTTGGAGCTAAAAAGCATAAATTTGCAGTACCTTGGTCTATGGGAACAGTTGCATTAGCCCCATAATATGTAATATCTGAACTGGTGGCAGTAAGATTTATAAGATTTCTTATTTCTTCGGCAAAGGACTTTGAAGTTAAATTAGCCATGACCTAGAATTAAAAATTAACTACTAGAAATAAAAAGTCGAACATTTACCAAGCATCGCTAAATAAGAATATTTACAGCAAATTGTAAATCTCTTGTCCTCAAACCCGGTGTATGACAATAATGCCTCAAAATTGAGCTGAAGTTTCACAAATATATAAAATTCATAAAAACTTCTTGTTAAAAATACATTGGCGTATTGTTTATTATTAAACGTTTATTTTTTGCTATCGCAAATTTAAGTTGATGATGTACTCGAATGTACTGTCTTTCAATAAATTCGTCCCAAGAGCACACATCAAAAATATTTACAATATCATTTTAAAGCCATCTACTTATACACAAGTTTTGTGACAAAGCCTGTTATTATTGGATGTACCAGACGAATTATTTCTAAAACTAGAAGGTGTCTGTAAGCTTCATATTTTAAAATAAGTAACAAATATACATGGTATTGCATAACTCTGTGCCGCTATAACGATATGATTTTTTAAATGAAATACCCTGTATTTTATTAAAGAACAACAAGAATGGCTTTTAGACATAGCATGGTACAGCTGCGTCTGTTCCATAATGGGCAACTAAAAATAACCTTAGAGGTGGCCGAACTCAAAAGAGAGAAGGCAACGGAAAACACACTGTTGATATTTTCATAGATTTTCATAGTTAGTTATGACACAGAAAATAAAACTCACTACCCCTTGTCCCGGACAGCCTTTGATGATCAAGGCTTGCTAGGAATCCACCAACTGGTACGTGGAACGTTAGAAGCCTTGGTGATTAAAGTAAATTTGAAAATCTTGTTTAGAATGCCAAAGATAGTAAAGACGGCAAGAGACGGAAGTAGGAGTAGAAAAACCACGAAAACGATGAAACGACACCTTGTTGAAGGCAATTGCAAAACAGACAAAGTCATGTCTACATAAAAGGAAGGAGAAGAATAAGAAGAAGAAGAAGAAGGAAAAAATATGTATTATAGTAAAAACTATAACATAAAAATGGAGTGGAAGTTTTCGTAACTTTGCCCCTACAAATGACAGAATATTGTATTGTAAACGTAATACAGACATCTATATAATAGCACTAAAGGCCTTAGAGGCCCATGGCTTAAAAAATTTTGTTCTTTCTTCATTTTCGCTTTCCTTTATGTACTGAGATCTTCGCTGGCTCAATATGTGACTTTTCTCCATTCCTTTTGTTATTCATTTTTCTTTTCTGGTCGTCTAGTCCAATTTCTTCCATATCTTTTTCTACCTCCTGATTCCATCTATTTTTTGGCCTTCCTTTTCTCTTTTTTGAAGTTATATTGTAGTTTAGTACCCTTTTTGGAGTCCTCGTGTTTGGCATCCTTTCTAGGTGACCTCGCCATCTTAGTCTCTGTGCCTTTATGACTTCTATTATGTTAGGTTGATTATATAATTTTTTTAACTCATCATTTGATCTTCTTATCCATAAACCGTCCCTTATTATTCCTCCATATATCTTCCTCAAAATTTTCCTTTCCCATATCTCCAGTAGATTTTGTTCATTTTTGGTCATTGTCCACGTCTCACTGCAGTATATTGCTATTGGTTGTATAGTTGTTTTGTATAACTGTATTTTTGCCTTTCTTGATAAAAACTTGCTTTTCAACATTCCACTAAGAGCATGTACACTTCTATTGCCTGCCATTATTCTAGCTTGTATTTCTTCTTTAATGTTAGGTTTACGTGATATTATTATACCTAGGTATGTAAATCTTTCCACCATTTCGAATTTGACCATCTGTCCACTGCATACATTTTGTTTTAGTTTCATTTATGTAAAGTCCCATTTTCTTTGCTGCTTTTTACTATTCTCTGTACTATCTCCTGTAGCTCTTTTTTTACTCTTGCCAGCAACACTATATCATCCGCAAATGCCAAAACTTGGTGTCTTTTATGATTATAGGAGTCCTTCTCTATTAATTCTCGCTTCTCGCATTATTTTTTCTAGGCATAAATTAAAGAGTAATGATGACAAAGGATCGCTCTGCCTTAATCATTCGTTTACTAGAAATTTGTCCGATGCATGATTGTTAACTTTGACTCTGTTTTCTGTATTCTCTAAAGTAAGATGTATCATGTTACGCAACTTTCTGCTAACTCTCAGTTCCTTAAGGGTCTCTTTTAATTCCTTCCTTTTTAGTCTGTCGTATGCTTGCTGGAAGTCGATGAATAGCGCTATCGTTGGTAAGTTGTGTTCATAACTTTCTGCTTGTAACTCTCTTATTATGAATACTTGGTCCGTTGTGCTTCTCCCTCGTCTAAATTCACACTGGTATTCGCCTATTATATTTTCAGCTTTTTTTCCAGCTTATCTTTTATCGATTTTGATAGGATTTTATATATGATATTTAGTAACGCTACTCGTCTGTAATTACTGCATTCTGTTTTGTCTCCTTTTTTGTGTAATGGACAAATAATGGCTTCCTTCCAATCTTCTGGTATTCGTTCTTTTATCCATATCTCTTTTATGATCTTGCATATCCAATTATTTAGCAGTTTTCCACCATATTTCATCATCTCTGCTGTTATGTTATCACTTCCAGGGGATTTGTTGTTTTTCAGATTTTTTATGATTTCCTCGATTTGTTTTTGCTGGGTGAATTATCTTCTACGTCTATGTGTTCAATTCTTGCTTCTGCTTTCATACATTCTCTTTGGTTTGACTTATTATTACCATTTAGTAATTCATCAAAATACTCTTTCCATCTTTAGACTATTTCTGCTTCCCCGCTTATATTATTTCCTGCTTTGTTTTTAACGAATATGGGTTTTTGTTGGAAACAACAAATTGAATATGGTTTTTCCATTTGTTCTCAGTTTGCTCTTCTATTTGTATCTTTTTTAGTTCTCTTTCCATTGTTTCCTCGTATATTTCTTGCTCTTTTTTTGTTGCTAATCGAATTGGGTTATGTATACATTTCTTTTTATTTATTTTGTTTTTGTTTTCTGGTATCAGTTGCTTAATTTTGATGCACCATGTAGTGATCTGAGTAATACAGACATCTACTGCAGAAAAAAAATATGACACTAAGGTAGAAATTCTTAATAATAAACATAGTGAACATTAAAAAGTTTAAAAGTCAGCTAAATTACATATATTATAATGGGCGATTTTATTGCCGAAATCGTTAATTGGCGTAAATCAGCTCTTGTTGGAGAGCATGGTCTGGAAGATAGTAATGAACAAAAAAGATTTACTCGTTGATTTTTATTAAAAGTATAATATAATAAAAACAAAAACTCGTATAAATACTACACACCCGTATTCACATAGAGTTTCTGAATATAGTCTTTACGCTTACTAAGAAATCAGATAGAATACATTTTTATTACCAAGCGATTTAGAAACTTTTGGGATTACTCTTATTACGAACTTTAGAGGTTACAATCCTCGAGTCACCGATGCAATAGTCAAAATAAAAAAAATAGAGAAAACTATTAACAAAACAACTTTACAATTAGAAACATAACCGTTTCCAAAACAGACGCAAATTTTCTTCTCGTCTTCAAAGGTAAGATTATCATCGAGGACTTGTATTCCTGATGAAATGTTTGCCTCTCTTATTGGAGTAAATCACTTAGCATTCTTTTTGTGCATTGTCAAGAGTTTGTTGTATGACTTGGCTTTCTTTGATGAGGATGAATCTTTGAGGATTTGATAGCTCTTATGACCTGGTCTTCCTATCTCTTTCTAAGTTTTTATCGTGGTCTTTCAGTTTCTGGCTTTAATCTGGTGACCAACTTAATCACTAGGTCGTTTTTCCTTCTCTCTGTGTATCTAAGCCATCTCATTCTCTAGCTTTTAATAAATACAAAATACAACTATGTCTTCTTCCCTAATTATGTCTGGTAGTTCATGGTTAATTATTTTTCTTATTTCTCTGTTTTGAATTCTTTTTTGTCATAAAAATTTTTATGGGAATTTTACTTAATTTTTCAAATCAAATCGAATATTCTTAATTTTTCTTCTCTTTATCTGTGAGGAACATTGTCTCAGTTGACTATGTGCCTACTGGTCTAATTGTAACTCGGTATATTTTTCCGTCTATCATCTATATATTCCACTACTTGTATTTAGTAGTGGGCTATAGTTTTTTAATTCCGCTGGCCTTGACAGTTTCTTCTATCGGTATGTTGAGTAATCTGGTTGACAGGGATCAATGTTTTTTTTTAAATGATGATTTTTCTTTTCATGTAATTTTTATCTTCACCCGAATAATTCTCGGGGTTTGTTAATGTAGTCACTATGAAGCATTTCCAAATGTCTTTTAAGGTTATTAGGTTTCATGCTGTCGGCTGCAAAAATGTTTGAACAAATGATGCACAGAAGTCTTTCTTCTTCATTTACTTCAGTAAAGGTAAACCCAAAATTTAATTATTCTTGAAAATATTTTCATATTCTTGAATAATTTTAAAGAATATTTTCTATACTACTTAAGACATTGATGATCCTATGTTTGCATTACATTGGTTGTGAATATTTAGATATCGTTGTATAGATGTTTAATAACAACAGTATTTAGCATATGTTCATTTAGAGTTATTAAAAAGTACAGACTACTAGCTTCGAAATTACAATTATTAATACCAATAAATCAATGATTACTGTCTTTACTGTACTATATGTTTCACATAGTTGTAATTATATTACGACTTTAAAAAAATTATTCCATTCTAATGATTTCAGGGAAATATATTTGTATGTACAGCTTCCGTAATTATCGGATCCATTACTAGCTGTTCCTGTCGTTTAATAATGTATTACATTTCGGCATAAATACATAAATAACTATTTTGGAACAAGAGTTTACCATTTACTGAAGTAAATGTAAATGAAGTTTACACGACGAGAAAGGAATAATATTAACAGAAGTTATAAAAAATTTGTAACCTCTTAAATATTACAGTAAATTACGTCATACTATCATTCAGATAACAACAATTAAATATATATAATAATACCCTTTCTGACGCCTATAAATATCCCTATAAATATCCCTACTTTCTATTAAGTTTACGAGTTGCCCTCTGGTATATTAGTTTACCAGATGGCGTATAGATTCAGATTGCAGCAACATTGTGTTCCATATATAATTTCTCTATTTTCATAATAATCAATTTGCATGTTCAATATTTCTAAAAGTCTTGATATATTTTTTTTAGGAATAGTTCCTTTTAAACTCGTCGTTTTATATAATTATTTCGTAAATCATAAGCAGTTTTTCTAAAAAAATCTTTTTATAATACCTAGGTCTAATATTTCAGTCGCCTAGATTCAAAACCCGACAAGTCACAATTTTTTTAAAACCTTTTTTTATTAGATATAAGAATTTGAAATACATAAACCTACAAGTCCAGAACACATTTATCAAGCAAATCCCGACATATCCGATAATTATAGGCTCCCAAAAATGTACCTTAGATGCAAATACCGACAGATATATTCTCGTTTTAAATGCAAAAGTCGACACTTCCAATCCGCCCATAGACGCGTAGTATTTTACTCGCCACTTGATTTCGGTTGACAACGTGTTAGCCAAGCAGATCAGTTTAGTTTATGCTTTTAAGTAAGTTATATGCATAGTGTGTAATAAATTGCTAAAATAATAGATTCATTGGCAACGTTAAATACTTTTGGACAGTTTATTAATGTAAAACAGTGTGATATGACAAAGGCTCGAAAAAGAGCGAAGGTCGAAACAAGAAGAGAAAAGACAAAACGTGCAAGGTATAACCTATAATATTACAAAAAATGAGTACGTTATTTGTAATGAAATAATTATTTTTAGGTATGCTGCCAAAACATTACCTGTGTACCCCACCTGCAGCCATAAGGGAAAACCATATCAACCATTTCAATGTACATCTCATCTGTCCATGAACGATGTAAGAGACTTTCATTCAGCTTCTTATTAAAATAAGGATAAAATGGGACAAGACATGTTTATTTTACTCCACATTGACTCACATATCCCGGTAAGACAAAGGAAACGAACAGCCAACAAAAATAAACCAAAATCTTGTATTTTATCATACAAATTGAAGAGAAGTGACAGCCTAATTGTTCCTGTATGTCGAACAGCTTTTCAAGATATTCTGGGAATTAAAAAAGATAGAATTTTAAACATTATGAAAAACTACAAGAGCATTCGCTTATTCCTACCAAAAGAAGGGACGGAGATCAAATTGGACAAAAAACGAAGGTAAAAACAATCTATAAAAAAATTCATCGAGTCCCTAAAATGTGCGGAATCTCATCATTGCCGTTTAAAAACATTTAACAGAATTTATTTGCCTGCTGAATTTAGTATCTCAAAATAATGGAGAATATAGTCCGACAAAATGGCCCAAAACGAAGACTTTAAAGTCAAATAATGTTTCTTTAGAGGTTATTTTAACAAAAATTTTAACGTTGCCTTTGGAACTTCGAAGACAGATTTGTGTTGTTTAAACTTGTTTACAGTACAAATCCAGCATAAAAGGCAAGACTGACGAAGTAAAAAAAACTAGTTTGGAAGCACAACATCTCCACAAAGTAAGAAGTGAGAGTTTCTATACACTTCTTCAAGAAGAAAGAGACGACATGGCTACATTTTCATTTGATTGTCAGAAGAATTTGGCGCTACCAAAACTTCCGAATCAGTGGGCTTATTTCAGTATGCAACTTAATTTTTATCCCCTAACTGGAGTTTCTGAATCTTCAAAAAGTAAATTAACTCCAGAAAATGTTACGTCATATATGTTTGGACGGAGTTGGACCATCATAGAAGTTCAAATGAAATAACCTCGTTCTTGCACCACTTCCTTTCAAATATTAATTTGTGGATAATGTACGTGTTCTTCGGCTTATTTGCGATGGGTGTGGAGCACAGAATAGAAGTTCCACGGTCATTACCATGCTGAGCTATTGGTATCAGTTTGAAGCTCCAAGACAAAGAAAGGAAATTGAGATAGTGTTTCCCGTTGTGGGGCATTCTTATATTCCCCCTGAACGTGTGTTTGGACAAATTGAAAGAATTAATAAAAAAACACACGGTAATTGTTCATCCTGATGAATATGTAAATTTAATTAAAAAGTTTGCCACTGTTTGCAGAGCTGGAACTGGTGTTGCAATTAAGGACTGAGAGGCTGAAACTCAAAAAGTTATAAAACAACCACGCTATTGGAATTTTAAGTTCCAACCATCAAAGAGAGTAATCATTACAAGAGGACAAACAGTACCACTTATAAGGGGTGAGGCATTTTACAAAACTGATTTATGCGCACCCAAAAGCTTATGCAAAAGAGGAAAAAAAGTCTCACAAATTAGTCCAAGAAATCTGAAGGCTGGGATAGCGATTGAAGAATATAAGAAAAAAAGTATTACTTGCTATTGGAGAAACACTACGGAAAGGAATGGTAAGATAGAGATGAACTGGTTGAGTAATTAAACTTATTTTTCTAATAGATTTCGATTTTCTTTTCTTTCAAAATATTAAATTCATCTGTAAACCCCGACATGTACAAAATATATTATACAATTACCTGTTTCTGGGAGCCCCTAGATTTTTTTATGTATTATTATTAAAAACCTTAATTTTCTCAAAAAGTCGCTGCTTAATTTAACAGGATATAAATTTTACAAGTTTTTCTTTATTATCTCAAATCTCATTTACCTGGACTTGTCGGGTTTTGAATATAGGCGACTGATTTGTAAGTGTTTTGTCTTCTGTATTAATGCATTTATTTCAGCCACATTTATTGCACCATAAAACAAAACCATTGGCCAGCGGCAGCTAGGTCTAATGCCGTTTGATAAGAAACTTATCCACAACGTGTACTCTCCATTTAGTTCTATTATATTCTCTGATGATTTCCAGCTTTTGGGTTTCTTTATCAATTTTATCTTAGAAATGCAAAGAAGAGTTAAATTCTAATAGAAGCCAAACATACTGGTTTTGACTGTTGAAAAATATTTACAAACTTTAGCGGGAATTCCCTCTTATTTTTTTTCATTGTACCTATTATTGTTACCTGGTAATCATTCAGAAGTTTAGTTGTCACATTTCCAGCGGTAAAAAAATTATCCACGGTAACATTACGTTTTAGACCTCTTACATATTCGCATAAACGGGAAATCAAGGTTATATCAGTAATATATTTTTAATAAGATCCATTTAGCTGCTTACCGATGTATACTTTCATTGACGAGGTATAAAATATTTTCGCGTCTACAAGAGCATATACTTTTATGCTGTATTTCTGTGGTTTTACTTGCTTACTCCGTGGCGTTACAACCCTTCGTAAGTTTTAACCGACTCGATAACATGCCTCACTGTTTTCTGTCTTGAGTAACCTACATCCAATTCTCCACGCCCATAGTGCTTAGGTCTCCTGCTATATTATCTCGCCACCAGAGACGAGGGCGTCCGCGTGATTTCTTTCCAGTTGGGACTTCCTCTTACACCAGTCTTACTGTTCGTTCGTCAGAATGTCTTCTGAGGTGTTCTGCCCATTGGAGTCTTCTAGACTTTATTTCTTTTATAATGTTGGCGCGATGATTTCCATGGGATTTTGTTGGGTTATAAACCCACATCTGCCACGAAATCCTACTTTCACATTTCTTCTACAATTGTAAAATAGGACATTGAATAATGTTTTGGTAGCTGGGCAGTAAAGATGTCAAAAAATTACCTTATTGCAGCTAGTTTGATACGTTTTTGGTGCTCCTCTTAGGTAGTTTTATCATTAAAACGCAATTTTCTAGGGACATTGTCAATATGTACATTGTATATCTCCATTTACATTCCATTGTTTCTAAAAAGGTCAGTACCATTTTGGTAGTTACTCTCGTTAAAAGCTGCTATGTAAAGTAATCCCAGAAATGCCTTTGTAGGTCTAAGCGTACTCTTTTATATAATTATATTTTTTGTTATTTTCGACAATAACTTCAAATAAATCCAGCGTAAAAACAACTCCAAATTTCGAGAGCTTCTGTCTTTTGTTTTGCAACTTCTCTCACGGCTGGCATTTGCTTTATAACATTTTTCTTACGGGTAGGTACAGCTGTTCAAGAGAAAACATGCTTATTCTTTTTGATAATCTTATCTTTTTCAATAAAATAGAGAGTTTTGTGAAAAAGGCCATTTCCGTCGAGATTTTCATCGGAACTATTTTCTTAAAATTCAAAAACAGAAAAATTAATAGTAGGTTTACTAACCTATGTCAACACCGCTGTTACCCTACACAGAAGATGTCATTCCAAGAAGTTATTGCGAGGCACCGCCTTAGAATCGAAACGGATCGGCGATTTTGCCAAAATTTCAGTGCGGTTATAGTCAGTCATAGGTTAGCCACGAAGGGTTAAGCGATGATCTGTTTGACAGATATTTTTGCCTTGAGGATAAAAAAATGTTTTTTAATTAAAAAAAAATATATATAAATGATTACCTCGGTAACGTCAACAAAGTTCTCATCTCCTAGGAGGGTTCTTTTAGCGTAAGCAAACTTAAAGGTTTCTATCATTTTTTGATAGTTTTCAATAGATTCGGGATTATTTGTGTCCAAATAGTTATCCCACACATTTAACATTAGAGCTAGTATTGGTCCTGAACTTGGTAATGGATGTGTATGCATAGTCCTCCCGTCTTTAAACTGTGTACTAATTGCTGGTTGCCACCTTGGACTAAAATTAAAATAATGAAAATAAATTAGCTTTGGATTTAGAACAAATGCATTTTAAAATGCGTTTAACAAGTAAACAAAAAGATAATATAAAAGAAGATTTATAAGCAAAGTTAAAATAAAGTAGTGAATAAACTTTCCCTCTAGCTAAAACTCCATATATATTTTTTAAATTAATCGTTTAGAATATACAGAAAATTTAGCCTACATTACAAAGAAGGATCTCTTAAACGTTTATTTGTATATTAAAACTCATTATTTGCGTCAGCATTTCTTACCCCATCCAGATGGTATTGCTCTATTGACCAAAGCTACAATAACAATTTTCACTTAAATCTCTCTGTAAAAATTATAATAATAATAATAATAATAATAATAATAATAAAGGCCTTTATTCATCACATAATATTATTTACATAAATTAATATTCAAAAGCTCCAGGCGAGTTTCAGTTCAGGAAATGTACAGTGAGAAGCACTGACACATCCTGTCTGTTCAGCTAACCTGGGCAAACAAATAATAAAAAATATCTAGAGTTGTAACCAATTAATAGTACTAATATTTATATAAAAACGAAATCAAAATCAAAATGTAAATTAAATAAATTTTAGTTAACTAAATGTAGGAAAATATAAAATAATTAATCTAGCATTCAATTAATATGCGCCCTAAATGTAAGTTCTACTCATAATTATTTATATTATCAAACCTTACCTATGCAGTATGTCGTAATTTCTCAAAAACGAACTTTTTAAATTTGTTCTGAGTAAAATTAAGAGCCGTGGTATAATTATTCATAACTTGAGCTATATGATATGAAAAAGATCGCTTATAGTTCTGTGTACGATGATAAGGGATAGAAATGGTGTTTTTATGTCTGATGTTAATATTATGTACATCAGTACGGAATTTTATTTTATTATAGAGATATGGTGGGGTTTTAAAAATAATAATTTTTTGGAATTGACAAGCTGAATGAAAATGTCGTCTGAGTTTCATACTTAACCAACCTGTTTCTTTAAGTTTGTAACTTATTGGTTGATTTCTGCGGATACCATGTATCAAACGAAGGCAAGAATTTTGCATTTTTTGTATTCGATAACTATCACGTTCTGTAATACATGAATTATAAATAGAATCGCAATAGTTAAAATGTGATAACACCAAGGTATCACACAGCAATTTTTTTAAGTCTTTGGTCAATATATGACGGGATTGAAATATAAATTTCAAATTTATATAACTTTTCTGCAAGCACTTGTTCACATGATCACCAAATCTTAAGTTATGATCTATATGTAAGCCTAAGTTTTTGACAGTTGCCTTAAATTCTATCGAAGAATTATCAATGGTGATCATATGAGCAAAATCTTTCAGAAATATTTCTCTTTGTGTCACTGGACCAAAAACTATACCTACAGATTTATTGTTATTAAGCCGAAGACAATGGCTAGAAGAAAATTGAGAAACTCTTTCTAAATCATAATTAATTGCAGCCACTGCCTGTTTAAACTCATCAGGCTTAAAGGATAAGTAGATCTGAGTGTCATCAGCAAAATAGTGCTGATTACAGGAGAGAAAATGAGCAGGAAAGTTTGAAGTATATATACTAAATAATTTGGGACCCAATATAGAGCCCTGTGGTACCCCTTTATTTGTTTTAAGATAGTTTGATGTCTTACCATTGTAATGAATAGCTTGACTTCTATTATTGAGATAACTGAATAGCATATCAGATGCCTGCTTAGACATACCAATATACTTAAACATTGAAATCAACAGAGAATGGTCAAGCGTATCAAAAGCTTTGGAATAATCCAAAAGAATCTGCACTGTAATTAAGCCATTATCGCAACCACCAAATATGTCATCAGTTATTTTTAAAAGGGCACTAGTGCAGCTGTGATCCTTTTTGAAACCGGACTGATTTTCTGGCAGAATTTTATGTTTATCTAAGTGAACCTGTAGTTGCTGATTTAAAATTTTCTCTAGGATTTTTGAAAAAGTAGGTAGTATACTAATCGGCCGTATTTCATTAAAACCTGTCGGATTATTAGTTTTCGGTATCGGTACAATTTTAGCAACTTTCCACATCGATGGAAACTCTGCTCTTATAATGCAAACATTGATAATATGCGTTAAATACGGTAATAAAAACGGAAGGCACATATTAATTGTTAGTATATTTATTTTGTCGCATCCAGTAGCAGCACTCTTGATACTTTTAATGACATTTAAAACGTCACTTTCTTGGACACAAGAGAAATTTGCACCGATGTCCACACGAAAATTATTATTATAAAAGTTTTTAATTGTTAAATCAGGATTCATATTAGGAATACAATTTATAAAGTATTCATTCATTGCAGAAATATCACTTAAATTTTCTGATAGTTGCTTAGAATTATCAGTATCTCTACCAAGACCTATCATTTTTAAAGAATCCCAAAGATCTCTCCCGTTTTTATTATCCAATTTGTTTGAATAAAAGGCTTTTTTTTCTCTTCTGACAGCTAAAGTAAACATATTTCTAATCGTTTTGTATTCCTCCCAAGTTTGCATGTTTTTGTATTTTTTGTACGTACTTAGTATTTTGTCCCTTTCTCTTTTCATAATACGTAAAGTATCAGTCATCCATGGTGCATAATTTTTCGAAATTTTATAAGTTACGTAGGGAGCATGACGATCCAGTAAGCATATTATATTATTAGTAAGAAATTCAACTTTATCGTCAATACTCTCAATATCAAAAATATTTCGCCAAGGTAGAGACTGTAATTCTTCATAAAATATGGTATGATCTATTGTCCTAAAGTTTCTGACAGTTTTATAAACAACTTCTTTCTTTTTAGTTTCTATGTTTATTTTGGATATCAACAACTCATGGTCACTGAAATCAACATATTCTACGGCAATATCACGAATCGAATTTCGTTTAGTGGTTAACATATAATCAATAAGGGTTGCAGTACTAGATGTAATTCTAGTCGGTTGATCTATGACTTGATGTAACCCCATTGTTTCAAAAAAATCAGAGACAATCTTAGTATCAGGACAATCCGTATTTAATAAATTAACATTAAAGTCACCAGCACAATATAATGTTTCAACCAAAGGTATAATATTAGATAGTATATTTTCAAACTCGTCAACAAAATATCTGACATTCATTTTAGGTGGTTTGTATGCAACACACAATCCATATGATTTATTACGTAAGAATAATTCTAAGCAAAGGTGTTCAATATTGTTACTATTTGTTTGTAGAGTTTTATATTTAATTTGAGATTTGATATAAAATGCCACACCTCCCCCAATTCCATTTCTATCTCTTCTTATCACATTATACCCATCTATACCTATATCCTTATCGGTAATGAAATTTGTAAGCCAAGTTTCACTAACTGCCAAGATATCAAAATTTTTTAAAAGGACACAGTTTTTGAATTCAATAAAATGTGCAGTTAGTGATCTTACGTTAATATGACCAAAAGTAATCATAATATATAATACAAGAAACAAATTATTTATGAATGTAATATTATAGTAATAATTATTTCATACTCATAGATAGAGGCATAATATTTAAATTTGTAGAACTTTACATTTATTTTTACAATAACAATAGCAGAAAACAATTAATTAAAAAGAAAACAAAATAAAAAGAAAACTAGAACTCTACGTTTGTGTTTTTGTTTGTCAAAAATAGCACTCAGTTGGCCCCACAACTCAACATTTTGTTAATAGCCACAAAGCAACAAATATATTTTTACTCACAGGTTGATTTGTCTAAATTTTAATCTCCCATATCCAAGCTGGTAATATGTTTCTTTGCACCACCTACACTTGCAAAAATTTGGCCTTTCCACGACCAGCAGCACTTGTAACCAAACTTATTACACGTGTATTTATAAACATCTTGATTTACCTTTGTTAAAAGTTCCATTACAACTAATCCACTGCCCTTTAATTTTGATTTATTTTTAAACACTAAATCTCGTTTCCATCTGTTTATAAACATCACTGCCGTAGGTCGTACTTTAGTTCGACCGATAATTGGATCTTGTTTTTTACCAATCCGATAACAATAATTAATGTCGTTTTCGGTTATTTGTATATTTAACTTATTATTAATGATTTTTACTACCTGTTGATGTAGTTGTTCTGTCTCACTCTCAGGAATATTATTAAACACGAGACCGTTTAGCAAGTAATTCTGGTAATTGTGTTCCATCCTTTTCTCGGAGGAATTACACTTATGTCTTAATTTTTCTATTTCACTTTTAATATCATTAAGGGATTTTTGAAAATTCTCTTCAAGCTCTTTAATTCTGTCCAAGAGATTATTATTGTTGGGATTAGATGTAGAACCCGCTTCCGCATTTTGATCAATAAGCGATTTGATCTCCTCAAGGCCACCTTTCACGTCGGTTTCTAGCTGCTTAACCTGACTTTCAAGATGTTCCGGATCCGACGTATTGGGCTTCTGTTGTCGACGGGTTTTTCTTAAATTTTCATTCATCTTGACTTAATGAACAATAAATACGATAAATTTTAACTATTAACAAGCAATTATCACTATTTTTCACAACTATATATAGGAGCCAACTTAACACAACCTACACTTACAGCGCCATCTTCAACTATGAAGCTCAGCACAGTTCAGATTTTAATGAAAATCAAGATATATTGTTTAAATTAAAAAAGGATGGGTGTTGGACACCAGGAAAAGTCATTTCAAAGACCAACACTCCACGTTCATACTTGGTGAGTGATCAAAACAGAAGACTTTATACTAGAAATTCTTCCTTTCTAAAAAACACAAATAATCCAAGAGTTATAATTTCTCCTGTCAATGAGAATGTAAGAGAAAACTGTAAACCCAGTAGGGGTGATTCAAATAATGGTGAGAATAATTATTGTATAGCTAGTAGTAGTAAGGATGTATATAATAGTGAAAATAATTGTAAATCTGATGACCCATCAAGTGAGTGTCAAAGTGTTATCAATAGAGAAACAAAATTTACAAGATCAGGTAGGGTCATCAGTTTACCAAATAAGTTAAAAGACTATTATACATAGTGTTAGTAAAAATATGTATTTGATAATTCACGATGTCAAGATAAGTTTTATAACCTATGTAGTAGTATTAGTATTTGTAAAATTCTGAGTATGTATCTAGAAAGGGGAGATGTTACATATATGACACTTTGTAGTGTCATGTCAGATATCTCCTATATGTTCTATGATCAGGCACACAGTACATCTGGGCTAGGGGAGGTTAGGTTATGTTTGACAGTTCAATAAACGTGCTCACAAGGTAATCTTGTATTGTTTTAATTTAATATAAAGCCAACTTGAAACGTGGAAATTGGATATTAGATTTTAATTTCTATTTAACCAATTATTATAACTATCAGATAAACTGCCAATTTCTAAGGCAAACCTTTAATGAACTACATAATTACTAACAAAAATTTTGAAAACATTTTCTGCATAGATTCTTCAAAAAGCCATGCAGCTGTTATATCCGCTATAATATCAAATATGGATCTAACTAAATTTTGCATTCTACCGTTCATGAGCTGCATAGATACTGCTAAATTTTTTTCTATTGTTAAAGTTGTTTACCTGTTATCGCCAGGAAAAAAAGTAGCAATAAGTAGCGATTCTTTAACTTTTATCCAATCTCGTAAACGTCTGTATAATGTGTAGATACTACACATCCTTTGGTTTAACCTCTTCAAAGCCCTTTCCATAATTTAATTTTACTGTGAGTGTCCATGATCCCGATTTTGTAAGAAATCTTAACAAAGAACACCCCTATCTTTCTTCAAAACAGGCCACTTCTTTTCATATAAAGTTTGAAAACAAACGATTCCCTACAATCATTTTTTTACTACTACTCTCCGATTAACTACTCCATTTACAGCGTTCTCCGACGCCTTCCGACTCCTAACCGCCATTCTTCTCTATTCAGCCATAGGCCTGGAGGACATTCTCTTTCCTCTAGTTTTGTTTTTATGTCATCAACTATTGTATGCTTCACTCCCATCAGTTCTCGTATTCTCTCATTTGGTATCCGATATCTTCTTGATTTTCCTGCTGCTCTTCTCCAGAAGTCCATTTCTGTTGCTAGTAACAGTTTCTCTGTTCTTTGTTTCGTTGGCCAAACTTCACTGCCATATGTGATTACACTTTTAAGTATGGTGTTGTATATGAGTTGTTTGTTCGCTTTAGATATTGTTTGGTCCCACAGAATCCCGTTCATCATGGATATGGCTTTTCTACCCTGTATGTTTCTGTCTTTTATAGCAGCATCGAATGTTCCATCTTAAGTTATCTTCATACCCAGGTACTTGTATTTATCACAGTTTCTAATTTCTACCCCATCGTCTAATATAATGGACTGTTTTGTCCCTCCAATACACATGGCTTCAGTTTTCTTAATGTTGACTTCGAGAACCCATTTGTTATATTCTTCTATTACAGTCATTTTTTTAAACTGCAATAAAGATCTTTGCAAGATAATAGATGCAAAATCCCTTCCAAGATTGGTGATATTTATCCCAAAATTAAAGACTTTTAGTTTCGTCCATGATACAAATCTGAATCTTTAAGATTTACCTATATCTATAAACTGTGGTGAAATTCTGTCCGTTGGACACATCTGATATTTGAACCGCAAGCAAGTCAAACAAATCGTGTGATTTGAACCTCATCAAGATACTCAATCTATATCCAAGTAATGTGAAGCCATGCATTATCTGCGTAAATGTTAATTCGTCTTTAAGAATAACCATAAATTATAAACCATAAACCATAGCTTAAAGGAAGTCGTTGAGCAACACATGCTTGAGCATTTCTGGACGTCGCCACACTCTTACTTGTTTGTATGAGCCCATAAGACAGGATCTCGATTCATTTAAGTATTCTCGTGCAAAATATAATCCGGAAATTCGATGTTCACGGAAAAAGCGGCGGTACAGTTACTCTAGTTCGTGAAGAATCAACAGCAATCGCGAAAATTGTCCTATCACGTACGTTTACATTTCTCAGTTCTTGGAGATGATTTCAAAGGGAATCTGCTGTGACCGTTCGATTTCTCAAAGTAATAGAACCGACAAAGTGGTTATCTCTAGCTGTTCTAATTCTGCTTTGAGCTAAACCAGGTTTTCGATTAAGCAGACCAGTCACCACAATCCTTGCCGCCACAACAGAACTTATGCTTATTGCAATATATTGACAGTGACAACACTACGCAAGCAATTTACAGTTGATGTTAAAATAACAGAAACAAAAACTCTGCTGATAATGTTTTTAGGAACTTTTTGTTTCAAATGCTTATCAAAACAGCAACTAAAATAATTGTTTAACATTAACAGCTAACCAGCAATCAATTAGTAAATTATGTTACAGCCAACAATAGTTAAAAAATAATTTTATTTTTGATAACAAATTCAAATTACTAGGTGGCCCTAATTTTATGCTCAGCAGTGAAGTTTAGACTTTGTTAATTATTAGTTGTACTAATATTTAGTGTTGTATAATCTTTATATATTAATACATTATTTATTAATGAAACTATTTGAATGTAATAAAATTGTATATGTCATATACTGTCCGATACTGTCAAGATACGTAAATTTCAATAAAAAAAATATTTACGGGAAACAGACCCGGATACAAGTTATTAAAATATAATGTTAAACTAACCTATAATTATGCATATCCTCTACTGTAATAATTCCACCATTATCTTGGATATCTTTAACAAAACTTTCGGTAAAAGATCCATTATGTAGCGTGTCACCTCCTTCTTCTGCAACAACTTTTAAAAACTCTCCCAGTTTTGGTCTTTTGTAAAAATCTCCTTCCACATAGGTTGCATTGGTTTTTGGATCAATAAATATTTCTCTAGAATAGCAATAATAATTTCAACAAAATTTAAATCATTTTTTAAATTGAACTATATAGAATAACAAAAGTGTATTTATTTTATAAATAATATAAGACATAAATAAGAAACAAATTGTGTCATTTTTCCCAGGTTATATCAATGGAAGTTACCAGGAAACAGAAAAGGAATAATTGTTAGAAATCAAATTAATACCAATTAACAATTGACATACGCTTTTTAACATTACTGACTGCCGACATTTACAGCGACCACAATTCAGTTGTAATGAACTCATTTAGGGTGGAAGATAACAGGCTTCCTGAAAAGACTGTTGAATGAAAGAATGCAGGGAAAGAGGCCTATTGGAAGACCGAGAAAGTGATGAAAGGATGATGTGGATCAGGACGCCTGAAATCTCCTTGGTAGTCGATCGTGGAGGAAAATAGCTACAGACCGTAGGAGAGAGAAAAAGTGGCAATAAATATGAATTAAAACTAAAAAATAATAACTACCCTAACATCATTGGACAAACACACTACTAACCATAGTATAATACATCATAATCTGCAAAACTTATTATCAAAATATACAAATTTCTCTCAAATTTATACAGATGCTTCAAAATCAACAGATGGCGTGGAAGCAGCAGATATATCCTCTAATATGTGTCAAAAATATAAGTTGCCAATACACTATAGTACTCTTAATGCAGAATTATATGCCATATATGATTCACTCACATATATTGTATCCTCACCAAATCAGAAATATATAATTTTGACTGATTCACTAAACTCACTACAATATATAGGAAGAATATACCCAGAGAATCATATTCTTGAAAAAATAAAACAAAATCTGATAGAGATAGAAAATTTTAATAAGGAGGTAATCTTTATTTGGATCCCATCGCATATTGGTATTAGAGCCAATGAATAATCAGATCAGTGTGCGCGTGAAGCCGTCAACTCAGCTGACTCTATTATTGTTAAATACGTGATCGCTAGTGATGTTTCAAGTGTTATCAAATCGCAGATCCTAAGTGAGTGGCAAAACCGGTGGTAATTTTCAGTGTCCATTCTTCGGAATATTAAACCGAACATTAAACCATGGAGATATTTCCCCACTAAAAGAAGGGATCAAGTGACAATAACTCGTCTTAGACTAGGTCATACCAGCGCCACGCACAAGTTCTTAATTATTAAAGAATCCGAACCAAAATGTGAGCAGTGTAACGTTAAACTCTAGGTGAAACATGTTGTTTTAGACTGTCCAGTTTTTCTCCACAGCAAGAGTTACTTATGGTATCTCAATAAATTTAGAGAAATCACTTGGTGCAAATTGTTCATTCACAAATATGTTCAACTACTTAAAAGCTATTAATTTTGTTAATATATAATATATTTAATATTGTAAATCTATTTCTCGCTAATAACCTTCGGGTTGATGCGAATTTGTAAACAAAAAAAAAGCTAAAAAATCCTGAAATAAACAAAGAGTGTTAGTTATAGGAAAGAGTCTTAACAAAGTATTATGGTCGATAGTAGACTTAGTAGGAAATAAAGACATTAAAAAAATGTGGAATAATTTAGAAAAAAATTACATCATATTTGGAAAAACTAACAGGAAGAAAGAATGGATAATACAAGAAATCATGAATAGAATGAAAAAAAATTGAAAGCACAAAACAAGCCCAACTGAATACAATAAGTATAATAAAATCATTAGAAAAAAGTGCAAAAAAGCTTCTTCTTTACACTTTGCATATTGATCCATCTTACAGTAGCTCAAAATAGATTAAATAACGTTAGACCAGTCCCTTTTCTAAGATCGCGAAGCTAGGATATACGCCTGCGTCCAGGGCCTCTCTTGCCTTCAATACTGCCTTTTAAAATTAACTGTAAAAGATTTCTTCTTCTTCTTCTTCCTCTTTTTAAGCAATTCTGCCTGTTCATTGGCGGATTAATACATCTATGGAAGGTTGTTTCTTCATCTTTTAAGCTGTCATCCCATACTTCTTTTGTCGATTGGTAATTTATCTCTTTCTATTTTAACGACGAAGGTCTCCTCCATTCTGCTTATGTTGTTATGCCGTTCATTTTCTCCGTTTTGTTTCTATTTATTTATACAATATACGTTACATTTTCTTTAAATGTCTTTACTTCTCTGTCGATCTTTCAGCGTATTTTCTGTAGTTTTTCTCAGGACTCTCATCTCTGCAGTTTTCAGTAGCCTCTACGTTGTGGCTGTGTCGGGTCTTGTTTCTGAGGCACGTCGTTATTGCTCTTACACTAACTTTATAAATTCTTCACTTCATCTCACAGTGTTAATGTGTCTGTTTCGCCATAGAGTGTTATTTGTTATTAGAACGAGATAGCTGGATGATGTCAAAGACGATGTGCAAACTATAAATGCTAGACAATGTAGGAAAAGGGCACAAAAGAGGTTTAAATAGAAAAAAGTAGCCAGAAAGGTAATAATCCATCCAGGGATATAATACCAAAAGAAGAAAAATTAAAATAACAACAATAAGAGTGTAACCTAAAATCAGAAATTCCTGAGCATAAATATATTTTTACCAAGACCAGAACTTAGTCTAGCACTTAGCACTCGCATGATAAAATGCTACAGTTTTTATACTTACACCACAGATAGGAAATTTAAAAACAATAGACTTATAATAAAAGATAAACATATTGGCCCGCGAAACGTATATATACTGAAGGATACTGCGAATTTCATTGATACTGAAGACACCAACAAGAAAAGTCTCTTAGTAAACCAAAAAGACTTTAACTAAAAAATTAAATAGTATTACATCAAGAAAAATAAAGTATTTATGTCATGTACTAAGATATAAAAGATAATTGCTACTACATCTGAAGAAAATTCATGGTTAAAGAACCTAAGAAGAGGTTAGGTTAGGTAAGGTTAGGTAAATAGTAATAAAACAAGAAAAATTAAGTACTTATGTCATGTATGAAGTTATAAAACGTAATTGCTACTGTGTCTAAAAAAATTCATGGTTAAAGAACCTAAGAAAGAGGTTTGACCGCTCAGCTATTAAAAACTTTCATTCTGCTGTTATCAGAACTATACTTGTACATCCAATCTTAGATAAAAGATAATGTAATCCAGTACATTTCCAGGCTATAAATAAAGAAAAATAGCATTGTCAAATAGTTTTTCGTTTGAAGGGGATGGGATAATTTATTTTTTCATAAAGTTTAGTAAGGCATAAAGATAAGACTTTGAACTACTTTTAAAATACTCTAACAATTCTTAGAATTTAAATCTTGTAAAACTTTAATGATGGTACATATTATGTTATAAATCATCCAAATTCTACTTACGACAGCAAAGTATTATTTCTAATTAGTACTTCTGTTTTCTTTAAAGCATTCTCGATATATTTGCTAACTGGTATGCCGTTAAAACATAAGTCAATGCTAGGTTGTACTAAATCTTTCCATGGAACACCTCCTCCGTGTTTGTGATACAGCTGCCAATATCCCCTAAGTTCTCCTGTAACTCCTACTGCCAAGCCACCTACAAGTGTTAACAATATATGTATTTTTAAACAAATTTTTTATTAACGCTACGAGAGATTTTATGAGTTAGACAATATCCATTCAATCTATCCCTCTAAGAGTACAAAGACGAAAAAAAAAAGATAATATCTATTCATCCTATGGTTCTACAGCTTAATTTGAGCCAACGTCTACCTCATAAAATCTCTCCAACCGGTACGGTTTGTAAACATTTTCTCCTAGTCTTTAACTTAATTGAAATAGATAAAGTTAAATAATTAGTAGTAGGTAGATGAAGTAAATTAACCTGATTACCTTCATCTACCAAGCTTAAGCTCAAAACTTCTAACTCATTCTTTTTATATTTCTCAGGTACCAAATGTTCCTTTTACTATATAGGGCCGTTTTCTTAAGTTATAACTTGAGCAATGTATGAACAATACAATGCAAAACCACCTTTCAGGTATCAATTTTCTGTTTGTCTTGCATACTTGTCAACACACAAAAACAACTTCCCCTCTTTATTCTTCAGACCGAACCAGTAATTTATGTTTATGAACTTAAAGAATCTTTTATATTTAGCAGATACCAAATGTTGTTTTTTGACATAGAGGACCGTCCATGCTTAAGTTGTAAGTTAAGTAGTACATGAACATTTTATTACAAAAACATTTTATCATATTTAAATTTCATCTCAACAGCACTTTCAAACATATCATTTACCATATCACTCCTTAACAATAAAGTTTATATAACCCATCTTCCAACATATGTTTTGTTTTCCATTTTCTAGTTACCAAATGTTGCATAACCTACAGGGCCTTTTGTTAAAATCTTTAGTTAAGAACAAATAAATTCAGACCTATGTATTGCCAGTTGGTTGCCTATCAATACCCACAAAATTTCACCGTACTTCAGTCTACCTACATTAATTTATAACACATTTTTTTTCAATGTTCCCAACATAAATATAGGACAAATTCATATTACAAACTACAACATTGATGGTTGCTACTGTTATATTATTATAATTATAACTTAATCAATTTTAAATATTGCTGGCTTCTGTCATATTTAGACATTTACCGTAAGTTGTACAAACTGCTTTGATCCGACATCCGTCCTAATATGTCAATATTGTCATTTTAATCAGTTGCTATCAACAGGTCCTCGTAGACACTTTGTCTCAGGACCAAGAAACCTTATGTAGAGTCGTACGCCATGTTACCAATTCCACTGGTAACTTAAACATCTTAATTTTTAAGAACATATAATGTAACAAAAATTTAAATTAACAACATTTAACGGGTTTTTACTTATATATTTAAGTGGCTCAAAGCATGTATACTTCGTAAGTACTGACCACATTTTGCATTAACCTTAGTCAACCTTTTAAATTTTATGTTCATTTTTAATTAAATTGGTGATATACTTTCAGGTTACATTGATGATGGAATTTGCATTCCGAAAACGTTCTGTAATTGTGATATAGGCCGTTTGGGTATTTTATTATATACCATTTATAAAGGTTTTTGAATTAAAAAATTTATTGTGTGTTACTTGATGATGCAGCTATTATGCATTGAAAATTGCTGCACCAATGCGGCAAAGAATGCTAAAAATCCATATGAAAGTTGGAACCTGTTCATAACAGATAATATCATTGAAGAAATTGTGACGTGGACAAATTTGTACCTAGAGAAAATTAGAGGCAATTATAAACGCAAACGAGATGTTTTAGATACTGACTGTGACGAAATAAAAGCAGTGTTTGTATTGTTGAAATATATTTGAGATATTTATAGAAAGAGGCCAAACCTGCTACACGCCAGCTGAGAACTCAACTATTGACGAAATGCTGGAGGGTTTCCGTGGAAGGTAAAGCGGCAGTAAATATATCCCAAGTAAACCAAACAAATACGGGATAAAAAATATTTGCCTTGGCTGAGAGCCAGAAATTTAACCTGTGATAACTGGTTCACGTCAGTTCCTTTAGCCGAAGAATTAAAAAAGAAAAAAATAACTTAAGTTGGTAAAATTAGAAAAGACAAACGTGAAATTCCTGAAATATTTGTTGCAACTAAAGAAAAGCCAATTCGTATCAGTCTATTTGCTTCTTGTCGTGAATGTTTATTAGTTTCGTACGTCCCAACAAAAAATGAGAATGTCCTGCTTTTGTCAATCCTCCATGAATATGACGAAATTGACGAGGAAAGTGGTGAAGCTTGCAAACCAGCAGTAGTTACTTTTTACAATCAAACAAAATCGGAAGTAGATTCAGTGGACCAACTGAAGAGTCTTTATTCAGTGGCAAGAATCACATGTAGGTGGCCATTGACTGTTTTTTTTTACTATGCTAAACATTGCTGGAATAAATGGAAACATTATAGTTAGGACCAATGTATTAGATTCCTGCCAACCAAAACGTAAGTATCTAAAAATTTTAGCCAGACAACTTATTACTCCACATATGCAAAAAAGAGCGGCCCAAAACTTGCCATTTTTGCTAACTTTGCAAAATAAAAAATATCTGAATCTTCCTTTGACACAGAAATGGGATGTTCCTAAGGGAAGTCGAGCAGATGCAAGGCCAAAATGCTCCTATGAAAAGAAAGAAGGAAAATCGGAAAACAACGTCAAGATGCGCCAAGTGTTTCAGAACAATTTGTAAAAAACATACATCACCATTTGCAAAGGGTGTGAACGCGACGAAGTTCCTGAATATGATTAATTTTTTTTATTACTCTAGTTGCTGTTTCGGAAATATGCTTTTTTATGTAGATGTACCAAATTTATATTTTATGTTTTATTCCTTTTTGTATTTTGTTAAAAATATTGCCCTTTGTTAGCTTTGATAAATAATTTAGTATATTTATGCCTTTTGTTTTTTTGACTTATAAAAAGTCAAAATAAATCGTATACATGAAAAGTGAGCTACACGCTCACCTGCGACTAATTGTGGTTCATTTAAACATGCGACCAACGCAGGGTTAAGCGATAGCCACAGAATTTTTTAAGTTACCAATTCTTGGGCGTATTAGTAAGATTCATAAATTCCATGTACCCAAATATAATAATAGTACCTATTTAATTCAATAACTACCCTACCAATAGATGATAACATGGCATTTCCTGCAAACATGTCTTGTGTTGCATTTATGGGAGCTACTTCTCTAGCATTTAATGTGATTACTTCTCTTGTGGTCCTATTGTAAATTGTCATTAGAAATCCTGCTCCTACACTCATGGACTGAGGACTGCAAACAGACTCGCAAAATAGAGTCGCTATTGCAGCATCGGCTACCGTTCCACCTTTGATCATAATGTCTCTGAAAAAAAAAAACATATTAAAAAAAATGCATGATATTGTCTTTTCTTTCTCTTGAACTTTTATGTTTGCATAAATAAGTTTTTTATTTATGTAATTTATTTTTGAAATATGAATTAAATATAAAAATATGATTTTATGTTTCTTCTAAAAGATTTTCTGAAAAAAATTAACAATGTAACAAGTACATAATAAAAAAAATGAAAATTAACCAAAATTATAAAGTAAAACAGTACATATTAAAACCAATAACTAGCACATAAAATTGAGATACATGCCAACACTATATATCTAATGTAGTTTTTATTTGTAATATTCTAGAACGGACCTGCCTGCGCACAAATGAGTTGACTCCTAGCGGCAACGTTAAGTTGTCACATTCGTCAAATTCTTCATATCAGATTTATCCGACGTTGGAGATCACCATTGCGAAGGCTTCTCGATCTTCTGCAATACGGAATAATTGTCCTGCATTTGGTATCTGAGTCCATTCACGAATGTTTTATAACCAAGAAACTTGTTTTCTTTCTACACCTCTACGGCCCTCTATTTTGCCTTTAAAGAACAGTTGTAAAATTTTATATCAACTTTTCCTTACTTTATGTCCCAGATAAGACATTTTTCGATGTTTAACAGTCTTTAGCAGTTCTCGGTCTTTGTTAACGTTCCTTAGTACTTCTTCATTAGTTATTCTTGCTGTCCATAGGTATTTCCAGCATTCGTCTATGAACCCACATTTCCAATGCTTCAATTCTGTCGATGATCGATACTTTTGGCGTTCACACTTCCGCACTATACAAAAGTACAGACCAAACATAGCACTAAACCATTCTTTGCCTTAGTTCTAAACTGAGATGGTTACTGCAAAGAAATGACTTCATTTTCATAAAAGTAGTTTTAGTCATTGCTATTCTACGTTTTATGTTGGTCCGTTCCAAATATGTCATTTTGTGAACTTTCTCAACTTGGACTCCGTCCAATTGAAGCTTTGCATCGGGATGTGGGTGACTACTAAACACTAAAAATTTGGTTTTGTTTGAGTTTACTTTAATGCCCATTTCCTCTCCTACCTCATGGATACGATCAAGCAGAATTTGAAGACCTTATATTATCCGACAGAATTACTGTATTTGTCAAATAAAGAGATAAATTATACAGTTCACAACTTCTTCTTCTTCTTCTTTCAGTGCCCTGTCCGATTATCGAACGTTAGCGATTACATTGGCAATAATAACCTTATTCACGGCGGCTCTAAATAAATTAAAGGTAGTTTCTTGATACCATTCTCAAAGATTTCGTAGCCAGGATGTTATTCGTCGGCCTGGGCTGCTCCTTTCGTCGATCTTACCCTGTATTATGAGGTGTAGAAGATTATACCTCTCTGGATGTCTCATTACATGATAGAAATATTGTAACTTCCGAATTTTTATCGTTTTTGTTATTTCTGTGCTCTTTTTCATTCGATGTAAAACTATTTCATTTCTTATTCGATCAACCCTACTTATCCGCAATACTCGTCGATAAATCCACATCTCAAAGGCCTCTAATTTTTTCATTAATGTCTCTGTAAGGGTCCAGCTCTCCATACTACACAGCAATGTGGAGAATATGTAGCAGCGTATTAATATGTTTTTAAGATTTAACGTAATATCTCTATTAATTAGAATTTTATTTAATTTATAGAAGGCGGCTTTGGCTTTTTCAATGCGTATTCTTATTTCTTTATTTATATCCCAGTTATCGTTGACGTTTGCACCCAAGTAGGTAACATTGTGGACTCTTTCTAACTCTATTCCATACGCTCTGATGTTCGTTGGTTGTAACTCCGTTTTGTTGACAACCATAAATTTTGTCTTAGAAGTATTAAGTTTTAGCCCATATTCATCACATGCTTCGGTTACACTATTTATAAGTCGTTGCAGGTCTTCTTTATTGGAGGCAATAAGTACCGTGTCGTCTGCATATCTGAGATTGTTGACATTACTTCCGTTGATTTTAATGCCTGTATCTTCAACTAAGGCTTCTTTAAAAATAGTTCACAACTAGTTTATTGTATTACTATACAATTTCAAAGTAAAGCTGTGAAGACAGACATTCCACCCACTGGAACTTGTCAAAATTTCGAGAAGCTACATCTTGTCAAACTACCCAACTTGCACTTTTGACTAAGTTGATGCCGATCATTCCTCTCTATAAAATGTAATATTTATTTGACTTAAATTAATTTTTTCGCTGAGCCAGTATGTGGTGAAGTATAACTTGAGCAGAAGTTGGGACACTTGAGACAGATAGGACGGGACATTTTAACTACTCTGTCGATGCAGACGGTAAGCATTAAATCTGCATTACTGAACATAAAACTTAGCCAAGACCGAAACCATTTATCAACAGTAAGTTCTTCTTTTCCTTATCTATCCAACTTTTATGAATGATAATAATAATAAATGTACAAGTCATTGAAGAAAAATGCCTTACAACATATGAAACATCAAATACAACGACGCGGGCATACGACACAAGCATGACAAACATATTTTGCTGTTTAACAGTGAAGTCGTCTTCTTCAAGTGCCATCTCCGCGGTGGAGGTCGGAAATCATCATAGCTATTCAGACTTTTGAGACGGCTTCTCTAAAAAATTTATTTGGTGTACATCTATATCACTCTCTCAGGTTGCACAGCTATGATATTCTACTTCTCCTAATGCTTCTCTTTCCTTTGATCTTTTTCTGCATAATCAGTTAAAGCAAGGTGTATTTCTCTCCACGTATAACACGAGATATTCCAATTTTCTTGTTTTAACTATATTTTAAATTTCTTTATTCATCCTTCTCAGAGTTCTATCCAGGATATTTTCAGAATTTTTTTATATACCCACAACTAGAATGATTCCAGTTTTTTCATTGATGTCGCAATTAAAGTCCACGATTCCATTCCATAAAACAAAGTCGAAACAAGATAGCACCTCGCCAATCTAACTCGTAGTTTCAATTTGAAATCCTTTGTACATAGCACCCTTCTCAATTTGTTAAAATTTACTATAGCCCTCTTCTGATTTTAATCTCCTGAATGTAATCATTTTTGGAGGTAATTACTGTTCCTAGATATGCATATGTGTCCACTTCTTCGACGTTGGTTCTGTTTATTAGAAGATTCTTGTTATTTTGTGAGTTTTCGATATTCTAGTGAATTCCGTTTCCTTGACGTTTATTGTTAGACCGTACGCTTTTCCATACTCCGCTGTTCTAATCACTAGTCTCTGAAGATCTTCAATATTTTCGTCTAAGATCACAGTGTCGTTCGCATGTCTGATGGATGTGACATGAGATGGAACTCCATTTTCCATTATTACAGCTGTTTTACCTTCAGAATCTTTTTTCAGGATCTCTTCGAAGTAGGCAATAAAAAGAATTAGCGACAATACGCATCCCTGTCTTACTCCACGTCCATATTTAAGGGACGTCAGAGTAGTTCAAATGTTCCGTACTGTCTGTATCAGGTGTGCCAACTTCTGCTAACTTGTGCCTTTAAGACCGTTATTTTTTAGAAACCTTTCATACATATTTCGTAATATTTTTATAAGGATTTATATATATATATATATATATATATATATATATATATATATATATGTATATATTATTATGATTTCAGTTGTTTTCCGGGTTTTACTCCGCGTTAAGTAATTTTGGTTTTTAGAAAAACCATTGTTTTGACGACGTTCAAAATCAGTTCTCCTGAAACATCAAGACGAAGCAGAACTAATCTGACTTGACAATGGCAAGTATGACCTTGCAGAAACGTCGTCAAAACAATGGTTTTTCTAAAAACCAAAATTACTTAACGCGGAGTCGAACCCGGAAAACAACTGAAATCACATATAGCTCCCGCCGAATTTCAAATCCAATATATATATATATAATATATATATATATATATATATATATATATATATATATATATATATATAATATATATATATAATATAAAGAATAATACTGAAAAAATAATTTCTTATTTTATATTTAATTAGGGTCCGATATTGGTTCAAAGGTTAATTCCAATGTCACCTTGGTCTAATTATGGTCTTAAGAATAGTCCAATCTTGGGGCATCCGTTAATCCAACTTCATCTTAAGTATATTCCAATCCGGGTCGGATGTTAAATATTAGTCCAATGTTTGGTCTTAAATTCATCCTTTCTGGATGGATAATAAATATTTTTTTTTAATATTCAAGTTTGGTTTGTTGTGCACATATTACTATTAAAAAAAATACCTAGGTATCTGAACTGTATGAATATTATATTGTAACGATGAGTCCAAGCCATCACCGTTAAACCAGCGTGCGCGGGAACCAACCCATGAAGTAGGAGTGTATCGACAGTAGAAAGGGCAAAACTAATTACCAAGCTCCGCTATATAAACCGCAACATTTCCTCATAGAGAGAGAATCGACAGGTGTTGACTGAAGGTTCTCTTCTTCCCTATCCCGGCTTGTGGACGTGTTGAGTTCACAAGTTGTTCCGTTCCATACCGCCGTTACCCGAAGAGCGTGTTGAGCTCTTCACTACCCGTACTCTGAAGCAGTCGTGTTGAGACTGTCGAGGAGTGTCCTATTAACCCGAATCACTTAAGGGACGTGTAGAGTTCCTTTCCTTTCTTTGTACCTATCGTCCGCTGTTATTAAATCGATACAACGTTCACGTAAAATTTCAAATACACACTCGCTTGCCGATAAGACTAATTTCATATGACAAGGTCAAACTTAATTTGAATAAATAGGCCAGGTAATGAGAAGACTAAACCAAATTGTAAATATGTACATAAGATTTTTGTCAATTTAATTTAAGGAAGACAATAAAGTTTTATTTTTATTTTGAACTCTGTCTCTGACTGTCCAAAAGCTACCCGGATAGTGACTCCTACGAGAGGACATCACAATATTATAAATATTAAAACTTGTTTAAATCGAATATGTACACAATTGACATTTTTGTAAATTTAACTATCTAGAATAAGATTTGCTGTAATGAATAAAATTGAAAAGTTATTTTCTCTTGGAAGCTAAAATATAATTCGTAAATTTGCCGTAATATAAATTACAAGAGAATGGCCTATATTCAACACATGAATAGATTTTGAGCTATAGATAGATAGATACTTACACCCCAACATCTGAACATCCTGGTGAATTTGTTACTACGGCGCCTTTATGCAATAATACTTCTTTCGGTTTTAATATTACAAGAAGAACAATTCCTACTATCGCTGCTACTACAACTGCAGCTGCAAGGCAGGCATATTTGAAGGATTTAGAAAAACTAAAAAAGAGTAAGACAATTAATATCAATAGCAAATAAATATTATATTTAATGCTAATAAAATGCTTTTAATATTAATTGGTGCTCAATAAAAATTACGATCAAATTAAGTACGTAAAACGGTATCTTATCGGTTATCGGTTACTTTGCACTGATCAGGTTTACCTTGCACCAAATCTGTAAAAGTGTATTTTCTTAAAACTACGTTTAATTTTGTTTGGATATTTGCACTACCTCTAGAACATACAGACAATATCCCAATACGATGCGCGATTCGTAAAATCATACTGTGCAGACAGTCCCAGCGGAGAAATATTGGTAAGTACACGTCCAATGGCATATTCCATAACCGATTGCGATTTTTAGTTGTTGAAATAAAGGTTTTAAATTAGGATAGCAATACCAAAAAAAAAACATTGTTTACATGTGCACCTAACACGTATAATTGGGTATACTTTGCACCGCTAACTTGCAAGGTAAAGAAGAAAATGGTTTTCAAGAAATACCCAGACGTTATAAAAGGAAACTGGAATCTCGCAAATATGCAGACTGTTCAGAAGAAGATTTATAAAGTTATGATTGTCAAAAATAAAAGATGGCACGATTAAAAGAGTTGCTGCTCAATCCTGTATCATTTTAGAAGAATTATTTTTTACAAATTAAAAGAAGTATGATAAGAATAGAAAACCTGAACACCCAAGAATATCCTGTATTATAAAATATTAATAGCCCACCACACAATGTTTGAACACCATTCTATTTCCCAGGCTTAAAAAAATTCAGGGAAAGCAGGTTGTTTTAGAAGACAGTTGGTCTTCTCATAATAATTTTAAAGTCTTAGATGTGTGTCGAAAACACGACATTTATTTGATACGTTGATGCCTCCGAACAGCACCTACGTTACACAACAATTAGATGTTGCATTATTTGTCTCAATAAAAAAGGCCTGAAGGGAAATTTTGTCTGAATATCTGAACGAAAACTCTTATAGGTAGTTGATCAAATGTACTTGACAAGCAGCATTTTCCAATGGTTTTACGGTAATTAATAAAAAAAATACAAAGACTAGCGATGAGATAAATAATTGAGCTGTATCACTGCTCTTGGAGTGGTTAGAAACAACTAAGCAGTCTAATGAGAAAAGTGATAGTGATACAATAAAAAAATAAAAAATCAAGTTCATCGGATATCAAAAACACTTTCATTCGGTATTTAGAAGATAGAAGGCAGGTATTGCTCATTTCAAAATTAATTTAAAAGATCAGCATAGCTATAAAACTGTGAAAGTAGATAATTAAAGCATCTACTTTCCACGCCCCATCAAACGAATTTAATAAAAAAACTCGCCTTAGGTTCTTTTTGAACAAATATTGCTGAAGAATTTAAAAACTCCGAATTAGATGATGTTAAAAAATATAGGTGAAAACGTTTTATTTTTCTATGATCATATTTAATCTGAATTTATAACAGCAATAGATAATGATGAGTCAATAATCAATGGTATTGCAAAATCAGTATAGTTTTGGAAATAATCATTATAGTTTTTAGTGTCCAGAATAACAAAACGAAATATGGTATTCGTGAGACAATGTAAATGACGCCACAAACTTTTCTAAGAAAATTACCACACGAGGATTATATATTGTTCCAGAATGCGTCAAATTATGATAGGATTAGTCTCAAGCTTTGTACCTTTACTATAGTGTCAATAATATCAAAATATCGAGTGGTGCAAAGTATCACTTTTCTAGATTATACTTTGCATCACTAATAAAACTAGATTGTTCCCTTAATAATGCAATATGCCTAAAAATAGCTATAACAAGAGATATATTACAACATGTTCAACAGATATTTACAATAAAAAGTTCAGATCTTCTTTCAAGTGACGTTATATCTACTCTAAAAAAAATAAAACTAAAAAAAAATGTGCACAATAACTCTTTTTACAGTAAGCAGAAAAAAAAACAATTAGTTTGATAAAATTAGATCGGTTTGTCAATATTGTATTCCTATTTAATCCTCATGTGAGCGCCTGAAAGTTTTTACGTCAGTAAACGACACTTCTTCTTCTTCTTTTTTTCTCTTCTTCTTCTTTACTAGCTTTACACTCAAGGTGAGTCTTCGCCGCATCTACTATCGCCCTCCATCCTCTACGATCCTGCGCTTCTATTTCCCATTGTTGTACCTCAATTCTAGATAAATCGACGTCAACATCATCCTTCCATCTTTTTCTTGGTCGACCTACTGATCTTCTACCATCTGGTCTTTTAAAAAACATTGTCTTTAACACCCTGTCATCCTCTGATCGTACCAAGTGACCTAACCATGTTGATATATCTAACTATGTCTTCAGTTCCATACAATTCAGAGTCACCAATTCAGCATTACGGCATCTTATCCAATCCCCTGTGAAATTATCTCTTTGAGAACCAAATATTATTCTGAGAACCTTTATTTCAAATACTAGAATCTTATTGATTTCCCGCTGATTGACAGTTCATGTTTCACTGCCATATGGAATAATTGGGCGAAAATCGACTTGTACAGTGTTAATTTAGATTTTCTTTTTAGCAGCTTCGATCTTAATAATGTTGAAAGGGAGAGTAAACGATACGCAAACATAATTAAAGCTCATTCTAGAAAATAAATAATATGCGATAAATACTTTCAGGTCTGGTGGACTAAGGAGAAATGAAGATGATGGTACACTTACAAACGATAAAGATTTAATCAAAGACAATACAGTTCTAAATAACCTTAATACAGAAAGGTACCGATAATTAGTTTGAGTGAGAGTAAAAGGCTTTTGAGCTATGGTTATAAGTAGAGTATGGGCCGCTTGGGGCACCCCCCACCACTCCCACTCTGACGTCACACGGTTGCAAATGCCAAACGGCTTAACGTAGGATGACGTACGAGGGCTCGTTGGAAAGAGGATGAAAAATGGGGTTGAATGAAATATGTGCCGTGCGCATCGGAGCATGCCAAAAGGTCGTTACATCATATCTTTGTTTCTATTGGTCCGATTGTAACGTACGAGGGGTCGTTGGAACGGGAAGGAGGTAACGAATACGTTGAGACAAAAAACAAAGATGGCGGCGTTGCCAAAGGGGACGCTAAAACGTATCTTCGTTGCTATTGGTTCGATCGTGACGTACGAGGCCTCGATGGAACGGGGAGAAGGTGGGGAGACAAAAAAAAACAAAGATGGCGGCGTTGCCAAATGGGCGCTAAAACGTGTCTTCATTGCTATTGGTCTGATTTTGACGTATGAGGTGTCAAAGCGTTGGTGACACACAGAAGCCATGTACAAGCTCGAACATTCTTCTTCTTGTACATACAGTGCCTAAGAGAACGTCGACACAGAACGTGGTAGAACGTGAAATGTTGCTTGAATAACGTGACATTCGACATGTATTTGCGACACAAAACAAACATGCATTTACTGTTCATCGTAGCAGGAAGAACAGGGTGATAGAGCTCAACGTATAATAATGTGTGACATATCGATGGGAAGGGGATGTGGTAACGATTATGTTAAGATAAAAAGTAAGCGGTAAGACAATGCCAAAACAGACGGTTGTGTGTGAGGTGTTGATGGGGAAGGGGACGTGGTAACGAATATGTTAAGATAAAAAGCAAACGCAAAGACAATACCAAAACGAACGGATCGTGATGTGTGAGGTGTTGATGAAAAGGGAGGTGGTAACAAATATGTTAAGACAAAAAGCAAACGCAAAGGCCGTGCCAAACGACGCTATGTCGTACCTCTGTTGTTATTAGTCAGATTACTACGTGTAACGTTAAATGAAAAGAAGAGGTGACGGGGAAATATGTTAAGACAAAAGACAATGACCAAAAAACGCCGTTATATCGGATCTTCGTTTAGCATAATAGACATTGAAAGAAAGTGACGCTAACAGAGAATCATCGCCGAAACGTTTCTGTATCAAATATTTGACATAGTTTTAATGGGGTTCCACATACAGTTCATCATCTCGTCACGCCACCTGTCGACTACATCTAGCAGGTGACAGCGTAAAAAAAGACACTCCTTCAGTCTATCTCTCTCTCCCGTGAAACAGTGCATAAAAGGTGAGGTGTGCAATTATTCGAATCATCTATCATAATTTAGAATGTATATAATAGAAAAAATGTAAAAGACAAAATTAAAAAAAAAAGGCAAGGTCTATACAGATTACTTTATTGTTTACAGAATAAAAAACCAATAAAATAATTTTTATTATTATTAATGTAAAGTTCAAATGTTTATTCATTATCGTCATCTTCACCATCTTTATGATCTTCATCATTAAAATCTTCATCATAACCATCATCATTATAGTCCTCATTATCGTCATCTTCACCATTAAAAGCGTCATCATAATCAGCATCATTATAGTCCTCATTATCGTTATCTGCACCCTCCTCATGATCTTCACCACTAAAATAGTCATCATAATCATCATCAATATAATCATAACCATCATCGCTTCTTATACCTAAAACCCACAACCACTGCACAATATCGTTATGCCAGAGGGGTTTATGGTTGTTATGGTCGACCCCAGTGTTATTGATAGAGGTCCTTATACCAGGGTAAGTGATCTGAAACACGATACATAGATAGATTGTAATAGATGAAAAGAATGATAAATAGTAAAATCAAAAGATGACAGCATAGCATAAGGATCTAAATAGCGTAATTTGAGGATGTATATGGCATATCGTCGTAAAGAGGAGAAAGTGATGTGAATGACGTGACATTAGACGTAGAATGTGACGTTCAACGCAGAACGAGACACATCGATGCAAAGCAAAGAAAATGACGCTAAAAATTTAGAGCAAAGAAAATAATGAGCGTGTTGGTTTCCAAGGCACCCGTGAGCACCGTTGACACCCCCCCCCCCCCAAGAGGCCTACAACCAATAAGATTCCTCAGAGAAATCAAACATGTAAATTTGATGTTGAATTAAGATATTTTTTTGATAGCATAG